TGTAACACTGTAAAAGTGTTTGAGTTAGTTTATTTAAAATATATATAGAGTACATGAGTCACAGACAAGGATCTGAGAGGCGCCAGTTGTCTGCCTGAGATCTCACACCTCAAAGCGTTAATGACCTCAAGTGACCTGAGGTCAGATCATGAGAATTTCACCTTGCTTCCGCTAAGCTCTTAATTGTAGTCTGGTAGCCTTCAAACAAGCCGACGTTTAAGGAGTGGCTTGGTAGTGCCGGAGGCTATCTACTTGAGGGCGGGAGTCTCTGTCAACTTCAGACCCCCCCCCCCTCTCTATCCAGCTATAGGCAGAGACACTTGGTGAGTGAACATTAAGGTGACTTGGTCGTGTTTACATATGTTGTGTGATGATCAGGGGCAGTCAAGTTGTAGGGTTCTCGAATTCTTGGATGATGACTCACTTTGCATATTAAACTGGAACATTTTAATTGAATTGCCAAATTATGATACTTCATGTGAAATATAATTATGAATTTATTATTTAAATTGTGTTTAACTTTGTTCCCTAGAGCTTTGAGTTGAGGATTTGAGAAAGCCTCTGTGGTTACTGGGTTCATGATATAAATGAGTACATGTTTGGAGTTGATACATGGTACAGAGGGAACATACTAATAATGAACTGGTAATAACATCTTTTGAGAATATTTTGATACAGGCAAGTTCCATTCCTTGTCTTGTATGTAATGATCATGAATGGATGGTGGCAGCATTTCTTCTTCTACTATCCACTCTTCTACTTCTACTATCTACTCTTCTACTTCTACCTATCTACACCTCTCCTTCCACCCTTCTCTAAACTCTCACTTTCAACTAATGACCCTCCTTGCCCCTCCCACCTCTCTGCCTCTCACCCCAAACCCTCTCTAATTACTTCACTATTCATTTCTTTCCTTTCGTTTTCTCTTATACGTTTGTGGCAGTGATTATGTATTCTAGAGTTCTCTCTAGAGTTTCGGGTAGCTGATCCCGTTACGGCGCCTTGTAGTCTTAGCACCTAGGTAGTCAAATACCTAGGTTACAAGGTGTTGAACGAGAGAGGTTGCCTTAGGAACTCTGGGAGTGCTCTAGAATAGTTAGCTAACTGGGGACGGGATAACGGACTAGAGAGAGCTGTTTCCCCCGGCCTCGTTAGTTAACTGGGGGGTGGAATAATGGACAAGATAGAGCCATTTCCCCCACCCCCCGTTACAATGTTGGCAGCGGTGTTGAACAATGTTGTAGGTAGTTGGTGTTCTTTTAACATTGTTCAGTCCCACGTGTCTTTTGCCGCTCAGGCGCTATCAGGGAGATCTTGACAGGTGTTTTATATTCGCGATTTAGCGAGCTGTTTTCAGGTTAGGAGATTGTGATTCTCTGGTGTTGTGTTTAGTGATTTTGTGAGTTTTGTGAAGTTCAGGGAATGTTCTCTAGAACTTGCGTGTGTAGTGATTTATGTTAGTTATAAGATTTGGCGATTTGGGAACTTAGCGGTGTTGGTAGTGCAGGTCAGCTGAGTGTGACAGGTGACCTCGCATGTCCCACGGGGACACCCAGCCACCGCTGGTCTCTAGGTCAGTGGGGAGTGGCAGGTGTAGTTTTTAAGTAGTTTTAGTGGTTCTGCTCAGATTATTGCGATCGACTGTTTTACTCCATTTGAACGCAATAACGCGAGGTGTACTGGTATTGTACAGCATGCTAGGGGGAGGCTTAGTATGTCAGTAGACTTCACGTTGGGGACGCTCGACGTTAGATAGTCTGGTCACAGGGGGTGGCAACAGTTTTGAGTTGTTGACCGGCGGAGAAGCTAGGAAAACACTCTGGGTCACGTAGGTGGCTGTAGGTTAAGGGTGGGAGTAACGGTTAATTATGTACTTAAGATTAGGAAAGGTACAGTTAAGTGAGGCTAGTGTTTGTCTATTAGTATTGATTTTTTTGTGTGTGACAAGTTAAAAGTAGTGATGCCCTTATTCTCTCTTCTCTAACTTTCCTCTGTTACTGTCTTATGTTCCACCAAGTCAGTATCATTCAGAGTTAATTGGATTATTAAAATTTGAGTGTAGTCGTTGCCAGGAGGAGAGCTTATAATTGGACTGTGTGAACCCTATACAAACTACAGGGTCACACAACATGTTGGAACACGGTATTGTTGCCTTATGTTCATTCCCAGGTTGGAGCCAGAGGAGAGGCGCGACGCATATGCAGAAGAGGGAGACGGCTGCTGTGTACCATACTCACGGGCGTTTATCACCACCACCACGACCAGTCCACTACCTGGAGGTCATGGTCACCACCACCACCACCCCAGGGGACCCCAAGATGCAGCCCTCTCGGTCGGGCAACATTGGTCTACCCAGTGGACCCCAGGACGGACGGACCCCAGTGGACCCCAAGACTTACGGACCCCCAATGGACCCCAGGTCGCTTGTCAAAGACCCATGGGAGGAGGAAGAGAGAAGAAAGAAGAGAGAAGAAAGAAGAGAGAAGAAAGAAGAGAGAAGAAGGAAGAAAGAAGAAGAAGAAGATAAGACAAGCTGAGTGAGACACGATGCCTCGTGTCCCTTGCTGGTGTCAGCATCATTGCAGGGAGCGTAATTGCAAGACAGGATCGTTTGCCTTAACTGGCCGCCCCTCCTGCAAGCATGTTGCTCTGTTGAGTGATTCATCCTGTGTCATGCGGACTTGATGTGGCTGTCAGAAGTAGCTCTCTGAAGGAGGCGTGCTGGAGCAACAGGGAGGAAGAAGAGTAGGATGGGATTTCTACTGTTGGCAACTATATGAAGGTCTCGAAACTTGTAGTCCCTATAGCTGTGAAGAACCCCAATATACGTCTCTCATGGTGACTGACGTAGGGCCAATTACAGATCAGCTGGGACAACCGAATTCCACGGTCCTGTGCGCAGTTCAAGTAGTAACGGCTTTCGGGTTGACCAAGTGTTGTTGTGCGTTAACGACGGAGAAGCGACGGAGGCAGTTGTGTTGAAGAAATGTGGTACAGGACTATCTACAAGACCAAGCAGTGACGTCGCCCAGCCAGAGACAATGGACGTCTGTCTATATATTTCATTTTTTTAGAGTAGGATGATGTATATTTGTTTAGCTAGGATGTATTTTTTTTTTTCGTTAATAAAGTTGTTGCACACAGCTAGCTTGCTTTAGCAGTGTTGCAAAAACTTTATTTCGGGGAGAAGGGGAGATGTAACACTGTAAAAGTGTTTGAGTTAGTTTATTTAAAATATATATAGAGTACATGAGTCACAGACAAGGATCTGAGAGGCGCCAGTTGTCTGCCTGAGATCTCACACCTCAAAGCGTTAATGACCTCAAGTGACCTGAGGTCAGATCATGAGAATTTCACCTTGCTTCCGCTAAGCTCTTAATTGTAGTCTGGTAGCCTTCAAACAAGCCGACGTTTAAGGAGTGGCTTGGTAGTGCCGGAGGCTATCTACTTGAGGGCGGGAGTCTCTGTCAACTTCAGACCCCCCCCCCTCTCTATCCAGCTATAGGCAGAGACACTTGGTGAGTGAACATTAAGGTGACTTGGTCGTGTTTACATATGTTGTGTGATGATCAGGGGCAGTCAAGTTGTAGGGTTCTCGAATTCTTGGATGATGACTCACTTTGCATATTAAACTGGAACATTTTAATTGAATTGCCAAATTATGATACTTCATGTGAAATATAATTATGAATTTATTATTTAAATTGTGTTTAACTTTGTTCCCTAGAGCTTTGAGTTGAGGATTTGAGAAAGCCTCTGTGGTTACTGGGTTCATGATATAAATGAGTACATGTTTGGAGTTGATACATGGTACAGAGGGAACATACTAATAATGAACTGGTAATAACATCTTTTGAGAATATTTTGATACAGGCAAGTTCCATTCCTTGTCTTGTATGTAATGATCATGAATGGATGGTGGCAGCATTTCTTCTTCTACTATCCACTCTTCTACTTCTACTATCTACTCTTCTACTTCTACCTATCTACACCTCTCCTTCCACCCTTCTCTAAACTCTCACTTTCAACTAATGACCCTCCTTGCCCCTCCCACCTCTCTGCCTCTCACCCCAAACCCTCTCTAATTACTTCACTATTCATTTCTTTCCTTTCGTTTTCTCTTATACGTTTGTGGCAGTGATTATGTATTCTAGAGTTCTCTCTAGAGTTTCGGGTAGCTGATCCCGTTACGGCGCCTTGTAGTCTTAGCACCTAGGTAGTCAAATACCTAGGTTACAAGGTGTTGAACGAGAGAGGTTGCCTTAGGAACTCTGGGAGTGCTCTAGAATAGTTAGCTAACTGGGGACGGGATAACGGACTAGAGAGAGCTGTTTCCCCCGGCCTCGTTAGTTAACTGGGGGGTGGAATAATGGACAAGATAGAGCCATTTCCCCCACCCCCCGTTACAGAGGGACGGGGGTCCCTAGCTCACCCCTGGAGGGACGGGGGTCCCTAGCTCACCCCTGAAGGGACGGGGGTCCCTAGCTCACCCCTGAAGGGAAAGGTGGGGTCCCTAGCTCACCCCTGGAGGGAGGGGGTCCCTAGCTCACCCCTCGAGGGCGTGGCGGGTGGGGGGGGGAGGTTGTCCCTAACTCAACATCATCTAAACCAAACCGAAACCAACCTATTTACTGATTTATATACAAAACGTAACACTGGGTGTGTGTGTATACACACCATTGGTGTTCTTACAGTCTTGCAAAACCAAAAAGCTAACGAAAATAAAGATCTGAAACTGCGGTGTTCATAAATGGTGTTGCATGGCGTCAAAATTCACACGGGAACAGGTTTTAAATCCAACTGGTTATCCGGCTTGTACCTCTTTTTTTTACCCCCTGGCGCGATGGCGTCTCGCGGATGTTATGGCCGCTGTGCGTCGCAGGCACTGTGACGTCACGGCCTCTTAGAGTGCCAGTGCCATAAACAAACTTGAGATCCAGCTGGGCAGACCCCCATGTAAGGGAGGGGGGGGGTGATTCTTTTGTTGCTGGCAAGCTCACCATTTGCCTGTTGGAACTGATACCTTTATGTGCAGCATTTGGCTGTAACTGGTAAGTTTATGTGCTATATACACGAGGAATATCAGCACACAGGGTTTAAATTGGGAAGATTAATGAATGTTTGTTGTGGCTCAGCTGTACGTGGATTCGTATAGGTGCGGCTGAGCTGTACGAGAATGCCTGCAGGTGCGGCTGGACGCGTGAGAACCCCTCCGCGCGCGGGAGAGCACCTGGACGTCCAGGAACAGCTAATGGTGACACTGACCACAGCCTGGGCCCCATGTATGGCAGGCCACTCATACCCCACCAGTGTTGGGGTGCGTCTTGGGGAGGAATTGGAGAGGGGAGTTGCTTAGGGGGACGTGGGGGAGGCAACTTGCAAGGGTGTGCAGTGGCGACGGGTGCCCCTCCACAACACTTGCCTCACTCGTCAGTCAGTATTCCTGTATCAGTCATGAATGTATCATGATTATACACCATTATTATACTCAGTTATACGCAGAGCTGTTCAATTAACCATGTATATATATCTCTGTTGTACACGTGTCTCTGTTGTACGTCTCTGTTGTACACAACACGTGCCTCTGTTGAACACAACACGTGCCTCTGTTGAACACAACACGGGCCTCTGTTGTACACAACACGGGCCTCTGTTGAACACAACACGTGCCTCTGTTGAACACAACACGTGCCTCTGTTGTACACAACACGGGCCTCTGTTGAACACAACACGTGCCTCTGTTGAACACAACACGGGCCTCTGTTGTACACAACACGGGCCTCTGTTGTACACAACACGGGCCTCTGTTGTACACAACACGTGCCTCTGTTGAACACAACACGTGCCTCTGTTGAACACAACACGTGCCTCTGTTGAACACAACACGTGCCTCTGTTGTACACAACACGGGCCTCTGTTGTACACAACACGGGCCTCTGTTGTACACAACACGTGCCTCTGTTGAACACAACACGTGCCTCTGTTGTACACAACACGTGCCTCTGTTGAACACAACACGTGCCTCTGTTGTACACAACACGTGCCTCTGTTGTACACGCCACGTGCCTCTGTTGAACACGCCACCACCACCCACCCCAAGAAAAGTGTTCTGGTCTAATGTTACACTTGAGGAAAAAGCAAAATATTCCACTTAGCCTCTCATAAACACTTAAGGGTTGTTGAGGGCCGACAGACGCACCCTGTACCTAATGCATTGTCTCCCACCCCCACTGAGCACATGCTCGGTAAACCACGTCTATTCAACGTTAAATCAACGTAGAAAACGTTTGATTCAAACGTTTTCGTCGTGCTGCTGCTGCCTCTTCTAGCAACCATGGTGATATCTTGCAACCCGTTCTCGCACTTTCGTACAGTCAATATTGACTTATTAAATAAGTCAATATTGACTTATATTGATAAATAAACAAAGATCAGAGTTTACGAGAATCCACAGATGAACTTGTCGTGGTCTCCAGCGCTGTCAACCGACTGTCGGATAGTCATAGATGAGTGAATCACTTATTTAATAAGTCAATATTGACTGTACGAAAGTGCGAGAACGGGTTGCATCTTGACTGTGCCTGTAACTTAAGTGTCAAATACTTTTGTGTATATTAAATCCATTTTTCCATATAATGCTTTATACGCTCTTACTACTGAACCTTTTATTAGTTACGCAAAGGTAGGACCGGGCCGCGGGGACTCTAAAGCCCCGAAATCATCTCAAGATAACCTCAAGATAACCTATGACCATCCCCCTCAAGCGTAAGTCACCTGGAAGAAGAGTTGCAGGTGCCGCTGTGCACATTATCTGTGCTCCAGACACACCTTAATGCACACACAACATATTCAGGACCGGTCCTGTGCCAGGTAAGTCCACCACGGGCTCACCATAGCCCGTGCTACTTGGAACTTGTTCCGAGTAGCTGAATCTATAACAACAACAAACAACACCTTAATGAGACAGATGCACAGATAATGAGATCGGGCACCTGTCGTTGGACTCACCTGATTTCCATCAAATTTAAAATTAGTCCGAAGGTGGTCTCAGTGAGCACTATTATCACTGCAATGTTGCTTTAGGAGAAAAGGAGGGTTCGAGGTTCGCATCACTACACACACTCAACAAATGGGGTCTTTCAGCTATGTTAAACAGACGGTCGCTTCTCTTCCTGCGCGGCCTCTGGCGACTTATGTCTTCATCGCGAGGGAACAGTCAACAGGATTATGAACGGGAGCAACAGGATTATTGCTCCCGTTATTAATTATTGCTCCCGAACAACGGGAGCAACAGTATTATGAACGGGAGCAACAGGGTTATGCACGGGAGCAACAGGGTTATAAACAACGGGAGCAACAGAATTATGAACGGGAGCAACAGCGTTATAAACAACGGGAGCAACAGGATTATAAACAACGGGAGCAACAGGATTATAAACAACGGGAGCAACAGGATTATAAACAACGGGAGCAACAGAATTATGAACGGGAGCAACAGGGTTATAAACAACGGGAGCAACAGAATTATGAACGGGAGCAACAGAGTTATAAACAACGGGAGCAACAGAGTTATAAACAACGGGAGCAACAGGGTTATAAACAACGGGAGCAACAGGATTATAAACAACGGGAGCAACAGGATTATAAACAACGGGAGCAACAGAATTATGAACGGGAGCAACAGGGTTATAAACAACGGGAGCAACAGAATTATGAACGGGAGCAACAGGATTATAAACAACGGGAGCAACAGAGTTATAAACAACGGGAGCAACAGAGTTATAAACAACGGGAGCAACAGAATTATGAACGGGAGCAACAGGATTATAAACAACGGGAGCAACAGGGTTATAAACAACGGGAGCAACAGAATTATGAACGGGAGCAACAGGGTTATAAACAACGGGAGCAACAAACTGACACGGAAGACTGCTACTCAACCCCTCCACTCCCATGTGTTGCTGGTGTGGGTTAGTCACAGGAAAGTCAAGTACACAACATGTTTTAGAAGATATAAACAAAGATCAGAGTTTACGAGAATCCACAGATGAACTTGTCGCGGTCTCCAGCGCTGCCAACCGACTGTCGGATAGTCATAGATGAATGGATCACTTGTTTGTGAATAATGGTGGCTACCCCTGTAGCCTGGTGGATAGCGCGCAGGACTCGTAATTCTGTGACGCGGGTTCGATTCCCGCACGAGGCAGAAACAAATGGGCAAAGTTTCTTTCACCCTGAATGCCCCTGTTACCTAGCAGTAAATAGGTACCTGGGAGTTAGTCAGCTGTCACGGGCTGCTTCCTGGGGGTGGAGGCCTGGTCGAGGACCGGGCCGCGGGGACACTAAAGCCCCGAAATCATCTCAAGATAACCTCAAGATAACCCTAGCAGCTGTTACCGTATGTACTCACCTCACCTAGTTGTGCTTGCGGGGGTTGAGGTTTAGCTCTTTGGTCCCGCCTCTCAACCGTCAATCAACAGGTGTACAGGTTCCTGAGCCTGCTGGGCTCTATCATATCTACACTTGAAACTGTGTATGGAGTCAGCCTCCACCACATCTCTCCATAATGCATTCCATTTTGTGTTGTGTGTGTTACTGTATGTGTGTTATAGAGAACACACATGAGTATATTGGCTGGGATAGAGAACACACACACATGACTTACCGCTCAAACTGGTTGCTTGCTAATTTGAGCGGCAAGCTAGCAAGAACCGCTATATGAATAGGGCAATCAAAGGGCAGCATGTGCAATGCCCTGTTCCCTGATGTATTCCTTCCCAGAGTGCATGTAAAGGTCAGAATTGAGAGGTCAGGTAAAGATTATACCGCGGTCAGGTGGCGACCTTTCCTGCCGTCAGTTGGGTTTGTACCAACTCGTTCCAAGATGGTGGTTCACCCGCGAGTTACAGGTTTAACAAGTCGTTCCCCCTGACCTCTTGGTACCTTGTCTTCCCCCCCCCCCTGACCTTGTGCTACCCTTGGCTTTGCAGAAAATCTACACTCCAAATGAGAACCATCACACACACAGCACCGCTCCTATGCCAGGTAAGTCCACTACGGGCTCACCATAGCCTGTGCTATCTGCCCCGCTCCTATGCCAGGTAAGTCCACTACGGGCTCACCATAGCCTGTGCTACTTGCCCCGCTCCTATGCCAGGTAAGTCCACTACGGGCTCACCATACCCCGTGCTACTTGCCCCGCTCCTATGCCAGGTAAGTCCACTATGGGCTCACCATAGCCCGTGCTACTTGCCCCGCTCCTATGCCAGGTAAGCTACGGGCTCACCATAGCCCATGCTACTTGGAACTTGTTCTGAGTAGCTGAATCTATAACAACAACAATGAAAACCCACTCTCCAGGAAGACTCAACTTGAGGGGTAGTCCAACCAGAAGTAACGATAGTCGTATTATTCGTACACTTTAAAGTTCAAACAGTGCTGGTATCTTGGGTGTGATACCCGCTTTCTCAGTGGTATTTACGGAGTTATTCCTCACAGTGACTTGGAGACCCTTGTAGAACAGAATAACATACGAGGAAGATGATAGTGAACACAATCTGTCCATAACGCATTACCTAGCAGTAAAATAGGTACCTGGGAGTTAGTCAGCTGTCACGGGCTGCTTCCTGGGGGTGAAGGCCTGGTCGAGGACCGGGCCGCGGGGACACTAAAAGCCCCGAAATCATCTAAAGATAACCTCTCAAGATAACAGAAGGAGGGCAGCAGGACGTATGTGTACCGTGGAGATGTATCACTTTTGGCATACTAAGGCCTTTCCTGGCCTTAGTATGCCAAGTTAATTAGAGAGTGGCATTTTCCAACATACAAGATGCTGCTTATTGACTGACTTTCGCCCTCCTGGGCTAAGGTATGATGAATTCTGTAACTACTACACGAGTACTGCAACACCACTTGATGATATATTGGACTTGTACCCTAGATTGAACATATGATGTATCAATTATACAATGTATGTGATGTAACTATATAACCTGAGCTTGTAAAAGCATCTTAATCACCTTCAGTGGTTAAGTTCTTAATTGCACACTAGTTTCTCTGTCAACTCTCACCCTGTCAGAGTAAAAGCGACAAATGTATGTGTATATATGTATGTATGTATAGGTGTGTGTATGTATGTTTATAAAGTATATGTGGAAGCTGATCAGAGTTACGTTTCGCCTTTGTAAATGCACATTAATGACACTATGTAAAACACACATCGAATACTTTATGTAGCACACATAAATCTGTGTATCTATGTATTTACGTACGTAGCTTAGCCTAGCATTTTAAAAGCACTACAATCACCTTGTGTGGTTGATTGTTCAATAAATCCCTGAACTGTATGTTTGATAAATCTCTAACCCTGTTCATGGAGGACAGAAGAAAATGTATATATGCTGGTTAGCATTGTAAATGTGTGGCCACGTCTGTGGTAGAAAATAATAATAATAATAAAGATGCTGCTCTCTCCTGATTGGTAGCCTGCAACCTTCCAAATGAGTCATCCATTGCCCCCCATTTGGTCGCCAAAGTTAAGACTTCACTTCGACTAATCTGTTTTGGCTCGTAGCAAACAAGATGCCAAATCGCTTGTGTTGCTTCTCACCCTTAATCTGACAACACCACATTGTGACAAGTACATTCAAGCCCCATTCTTCAAATGCTGGATAACGCGTCCATACATGACTGATGTTTACACACAGAAATCACAATAGCGTGATGCATCAAATGAACAAATCCACAAGGGCCGTGACGATGATTCGAATCTACGTCCGAGAGCATCCTAGACGCTGCCTTAATCGACTGAGCTACGACATGGTAAAAAGAATTGCAACCAGAAGTTCTACTGCCCTTACTTGGACCTTGTGGATTTGTTCACGGTTGATGTTTAGTTGTAGCACCACGACTAAGTTCAAGTGGGATGTTGTTGTTGTTGTTAAAGATTCGCTACTTGGAACAAAAAGTTCCAAGTAGCACGGGCTATGGTGAGCCCGTAGGTACTTTTTTCACGTGGAAAATATTTCCATGCGTGTTTGCAACTTTATCTTGAGGTTATCTTGAGATGATTTCGGGGCTTTTAGTGTCCCCGCGGCCCGGTCCTCGACCAGGCCTCCACTCCCAGGAAGCAGCCCGGGACAACTGACTAACACCCAGGTACCTATTTTACTGCTAGGTAACAGGGGCATAGGGTGAAAGAAACTCTTCCCATTGTTTCTCGCCGGCGTCCGGGATCGAACCCGGGACCACAGGATCACAAGTCCAGTGTGCTGTCCGCTCGGCCGACCGGCTCCCAAACCGGCTTTACCCTCCAAGTTCTCCCCGGAACACCACCAACCAATCAGCGTACTTCCAGCTACTCAAATACTACTGGGTGAACAGAGGTCAACAGCTATGGAGTGGTTCCCAGCCATTCCTCTCCGGGTGTTGTCATGGGACGAGTAAGTGTGTATGTGTAGTGTCATGTGTGCGATTATATATATATCTACATATTAGGCTAACTACTAAGCCTACCATAGACTGGAGCCCACAACAGGTCGCTAACACCCCAACCCGTTCTCGCACTATCGTATAGTCAATATTGACTTATTATATACGTGCATATGTGACATACTAAAAATACTAGTTTACCTTCAAAAGCTTCATAGAAAACACCGACCTTATTACGAAGCAATAAGATGCTTATCTTAACATACTAAGAAGGTTAGGTAAGGTCGGTGTTTTCTATGAAACTTTTCAAGGTAAACTAGTATGTTTAGTATGTCACATATGCACGTATTTAATAAGTCAATATTGACTGTAAGAAAGTGCGAGAACGGGTTGAACACCCAGGTCCCTTACGACTGTGAATCAAGGTCGTTCACCGCTAGACCACAGAGCCCTTTCAGTGCCATTTCTCTACTAATGTGGGGAGTGTCTGATATATTACGGAGCTTAGTTCTAGTTGTTAGAGGAAGAGCTGTAGTGAGTGTACTCACCTAGTTGTGCTTGCGGGGATTGAGCTTTGGCTCTTTGGTCCCATCTCTCAACTGTCAATCAACTGATGTACAGATTCCTGAGCCTCCTGGGCTCTATCATATCTACATTTGAAACTGTGTATGGAGTCAGCCTCCACCACATCACTAATGCATACCATTTACTAACTACTCTGACAGTGTGTGTGTGATACCTTTTGCCAGGAAAGAGTGAGAAGGGATCATGTCTGCAGGATGAGGCAGACTTAGAGAAGCGCGGAGAACAGGCGACAGTCACAGTGAGCGGTAGCGGCCACCGGCACCCCGACCAGCCACTAGGTGCCCTTTGTGTGTGTCCTCACCATGCTCACCTTCACACCATGTACCACCACTCACCACCACCAGGGGAAGTCGGTCGGCCGAGCGGACAGCACGCTGGACTTGTGATCCTGTGGTCCCGGGTTCGATCCCGGGCGCCGGCGAGAAACAATGGGCAGAGTTTCTTTCACCCTATGCCCCTGTTACCTAGCAGTAAAATAGGTACCTGGGTGTTAGTCAGCTGTCACGGGCTGCTTCCTGGGGGTGGAGGCCTTGGTCGAGGACCGGGCCGCGGGGAAACTAAAGCCCCGAAATCATCTCAAGATAACCTCAACCTCATTTTTACATTCCTCGAGGACGAAATCATTAATATCACAGCCACCTACTAATTCTACAGTCAGCTAATTCAAAATCTGCATTCAACATGCATGATTCTCAAGGCTGATAAATGTCATTGACTCCCCCACCAAGTGCTGGTAGAGTTAACTAAGGCGCGTTTGGGATTATCCCGGGCGTAGGTTCGAACCCTCATCACGGCCCTTGTGGGTTTGATCATTTGATATATCACGTTATTGTGATGTCTGTGTGTCGACGGGGGAGACATCTCCCGTCACGCAGGGTGCAGTCGCACCTCCACAGATCTCCAGTAGCAAGAGTTGATACTGGTAATGGCTCAAAAGGGCCACCACTTAAGGGATATTCATGCCCGTGCCACCGTTTGGGTGGCTTAATCTTCATCAATCTGTGTTAGGAAATGTATATGTTTATCTCTCAGAATGTTCGGTAATACGTCTATTGTTTGTGATGTGTGTCTATGTATGTATTAACACGATGTACTGAACGGGGTGAGAATAGCTTGAGCTACCTCATCCCTTTGTGTGTATTTTACCTCAATAAACTTATTTCAATTTCAATTTCAATCTGTGTGTCATTAACTCTGTGCGCCTCAGGGTCAGCTAGTTTAAGCTGACGATTGGATTTAACCAGTGATTGGATGGGTGACCGTGTGGACGCAGCCTTGCCTCAATGTCGTGTAGGATCATGACATTCATGCCACCAAAAAGAGTATGAATATTACACACAGAAATCACAATAGTGTGATGCATCAAATGAACAAATTCTTTTACCATGGCGTAGCTCAGTCGATTAAGGCAGCGTCTGGGATGCTCTTGGACGTAGGTTCGAACCCTCGTCACGGCCCTTGTGGATTTGTTCGAGTATGAATATACTCAAAAAGCTGTGCTTGGAGCACAGAAGGACACGCCCCAGTCACCAAGCAGTACATAGGTGCGTATCACGTGGTCCCGAGTTTGATTCCCGCACTTGACACTTGGCCAAGTTTCCTTACACCTAATGCATCTATTCACCCAAGAGTAAATATGTACCCGAGAGTTCGAAAACTGTTTGCATCCTTGTGAAGGTACCAAATGCATGGTCAGTCTTTGGTAGGTTGGCTAGTCCAGCAACCAGGAGGCCTGGTCGAAGACCGGGCCGCGGAGACGCTAAGCCCCGAAATCATCTCAAGGTAAGGTAGGTCAGTCGTTGACCTGAGGGGGAAGGGGGGGGGGAAGGTCTCCAAGCCCAGCTGGAATCCTTCACTCCACTATGGAAAATCTTAAGTTGGAGAATGGAATCACTAGTTCTGCAGTTAACTATGTAAGGACAAGTCGACGCTCTGGAAAGGGGCGGGGACTGCTTTCGACCCCTCCTCAGTTGTGGTCAAGATTCCATTAAATACATTGGCACCAAGTTTAACATCAAGTAATTATCAAGAACAGGGCCCAAACCTACACGCTACCTAACAGGTATGGCCTAATTGGGGGCCTGGGGGCCCAACAGCTGAGTGGACAGCGCTTCAGATTCGTAGTCCTGAGGTTCCGGGTTCGATCCCCGGTGGAGGCGGAAAACAAATGGGCAAAGTTTCTTTCATCCATGATACCCCTGTTCACCTAGCAGTAAATAGGTACCTGGGAGTTAGACAGCTGCTACGGGCTGCTCATCCTGGAAGTGTGAAACAAAAAGGAGGCCTGGTCGAGGACCGGGCCACGGGAACGCTAAGCCCCGAAATCATCTCAAGATAACCTCTAGATACCACGTAATGTATTATTCCTTATACCCAACCATCTTTCTTTCCCTATCTATTGCGGGTTGCGTTATGAATAACGACAGAGTATAAAACATTATTAGTTTGCAAAGTTGAAGCTTTCATCGATAACTCACCTGTTACATTTAAGTAAAGTGCAAACAGTATACATAATGTTCCATGGTTTAATGTATACAAATACACACCAAATATTAACGGAAGTCTACAGCTCAAGCTTATCAAGCCAGCTTCATACTGAGCACCCATCACCAAAACTTGCCAGAAATGTGGCAATTATATATATACAAGCGCATGTTAATACATTGCCTTCACTCCAACCAAAAAAAAACGTCACTTTACGGGCTATTCATGCCCGTGCCACCTCTTGGATGGCTTAATCTTCATCAATCAATATATTGACACACTTCAATGTGATTTCTTTGTGTATTAGCACATTCATGACAGCACAAGTACATTATAATGCATAATAAACTTATTATAATGTATAATAAACTTAATTATAATGTATAATAGACTTGTGAAGCGATACTAAGCGCATATGCGGAAGGGAAGATCACACTTACGATGTACTAAAGTCTCTGGCCCCAACAAGAGACGCAAAGGCTACTTGGGCTGAAATGTCACTAGCCAGATACGCGAGTATTATTTCCCCTCGCGTCCTTATATATTCCTTAGTGGTAAGTTAAGAGGAAACACAAACACTTGATCAGTCAACAGCGACACACGAGGACGGAGTGACGCCGTCCGCCATTAAGTCAGCTCCAGTAGGCGGGAGGAGCGCTGAAGCTGACCTGACTCCGCGCCGCCACACATGCAACTGGGCAGCCCACACCACCCTACCCCGAGGGTGGGGAGGATGGGTGGCTCCCCGATCACCCCATCCCGGCCTGGTGGCTCATGGCCCTCCCCATCCCGGCCTGGTGGCTCATGGCCCTCCCCATCCCGGCCTGGTGGCTCATGGCCCTCCCCATCCCGGCCTGGTGGCTCATGGCCCTCCCCATCCCGGCCTGGTGGCTCATGGCCCTCCCCATCCCGGCCTGGTGGCTCATGGCCCTCCCCATCCCGGCCTGGTGGCTCATGGCTCTCCCCATCCCGGCCTGGTGGCTCATGGCCCTCCCCCATCCCTGCCTGGTGGCTCATGGCCCTCCCCATCCCGGCCTGGTGGCTCATGGCCCTCCCCATCCCGGCCTGGTGGCTCATGGCCCTCCCCATCATGGCCTGTTGGCGCATGGCCCTCCCCATCATGGCCTGGTGGCGCATGGCCCTCCCCATCATGGCCTGGTGGCTCATGGCCCTCCCCATCCCGGCCTGGTGGCTCATGGCCCTCCCCATCATGGCCTGTTGGCGCATGGCCCTCCCCATCATGACCTGGTGGCTCATGGCCTGGTGGCTCATGGCCCTCCCCATCCCGGGCTGGTGGCTCATAGAGCCGCTTAGTCCAGACTGATGAAGATTAAGCCACCCAAGAGGTGGCACGGGCATAAATAGCCCGTAAAGGTAGTCCAGGATTTTGACATTATGCGGTATAAAGGCCGAGTGGGGTGTCGTTGGGGGCCCTTTGATTTTTTTGTTGCCGCCGGAGGCCCTTCGCCGCTATCCTGGGTGGGCGAGTTTTGTTGTGGGATTCACATAGTTCACCCCATTGCTCATTTTCACGGCGCTAGGGCTTAGTTTGGCACTGGGCTAAAGGCTTACCAACCACGGGAGGGAGGGAACAGTCCAAGAGTAAAGTATAAACTGCAATGTAAACTGAGAAGTGGCCGGGGCGCACCTCACCGTGTACACATGATATGTTTAGTTCACGGTGCAGGGGCCAGACATGTACTCATGCAGGGGATGTCACGTGTTGGTGGGGGACCCGCACAGGCGTGCATTATATAAAAAACAGCAGAGGGCGTACATAAACAGCTAGGGCGTGTAAAAACAGCAGGGGGCGTGCATAAACAGCAGGGGCGTGCATACACAAATGCCGGTCTCACCTGAGCAGCGCGCCGGCTTCCTACCGGTGGACGACCCGCCACGCAAACTTTTTTCTTAATTGGCCTTAAGCTCAACACACAATCAATCTCTCGTGTAATGCTGCTGCTCCAGCCTCCTTCCTGCACGATCTCCGGCTAAACCCAGTATAGCATCAAGCTTTTCGTGTCATTTTAGTTTAGCTAATGCATTAATTTCACTATTTCTAGTGTTTGCTGGGATTCGTTGCAAACATACACAGCTAGCCTCTTCCACCATGCGAACGTTGACGTATCTAAACAAATTTCATGTACATTATCCATCATTTAAAATTCTACAAAAAGGCCGGTACGAGTGACCATCTAGTTTAGGTAACAGCTTATTGGAGACTAATGACTTTCTCCGATTGATAAATGATTGATAAACATTAAGCCACCCACGAGGTGGTACGGGCATGAATAGCCCGTAAGTGGCTTGTCTCCGTGTGGTGTGAACTATAATTAGGCTCGACTCCGCGGGGTGCAACTCCGCGGGGTTGTTATTTTATCATAGCAACGTTGTTATTTTATCATAGCAATATGGAAGTTGTAGTGAAGGACCTGGTGACTCTAGTGGGAGCCCTGAGGACTGAGTTGGACTCTCTGCGGGAGGAGGTGCGTCAGCTTAAAAAACAACGAGAAGTAACGAAGGAGGAGACCAGCAGTAAAGGGACCTCGTCTTGGAGAGTTGCGAAAGACAGGGGCCTTAAGAAGACTTTGATAAAGCCGCCTTCAAACGCCATAGCAACTTCAAATTCATTTGACGTTTTGGAGGACGAGTGCTGTGGAGAGACTGTGGATCGCGCAAAAGGGAAAGCAACGAAGAGAAAGGAAGCGCAGGCCCCTCAGAAAGTAAAGGAAGTACCTAAGCAAACATTAGTTGTGGGAGATTCCCAGATAAGGTATTTGGATAGAACGTTTTGTGCTAGAGATAGGGGGAACAGGTTAAGGGTTTGCTATCCCGGAGCTGGCATTGGTGATATTATAAACAACATGAATGATATTATGGCTGGTAATGGGAACAATCCCATTATTTGCATTAGCGTGGGAGGAAATGATGTTGGTCGAGTCAGGAGTGAGGAACTGATTCAGAGGTATAAAACAGCCATAGAGTTAGTTAGGAGCAAGGGAGGAATCCCGATCATATGTGGCATTCTTCCAAGAAAGGGAGTGGGAAATGAATGGATATCGAGGGCACTTGGTGTCAATTGCCGGCTGGAAAGATATTGCAAATCAAATGCAATATCTTTCATAGACAACTGGGAACACTTCTATGGAAGAAATGAAATGTATGCTCGTGATGGGGTGCATCTATCGAGAGCTGGGGTTGTTGCTGTTGCGAACTCGCTAGAAGAAGTGGTTAGAGGTGTTTGTTTGGGTTTAAACTCTTAGTAGATAGAGGTATGGGAATTGATTTGGAGGAAGGAGGTAATAAAAGTATGTGTTTGTGGGAGAAAGGAATTGGCAAAACGATCAGGGAAAGAGAAGGTCCGCAAAATAACAATTCACTTAGGGTATATTACACTAACAGTAGAAGTCTAAGAAATAAAATTAACGAATTAAATGCTCTTGTCTGCACAGAAAAAATAGATATTATTGCACTTACCGAAACGTGGATGAATGTAGAAAATAGAGAACTATTAGCTGAATATCAAATATATGGATTTAAACTATTTCACACAGATAGATATATTAGACGAGGAGGTGGAGTAGCCATATATGTTAGGGACAATTTGAAATGTAGTCTCAAAGAGGGAATCAAAACAGAGCCACACTCAGAAACTATTTGGATTGAATTAAACGAAAAAGCTAATAATATTATAATAGGAGTAATATATAGGCCACCAAATTTAGACAGAATGGAAGCAAAGCATCTATGGGATGAAATATCTAGAGCATCTAGATCTAACAGTATTTATGTCATGGGTGACTTTAATTTTAGCGGAATAAACTGGTTGAACAAAACAGGGAATAGTGAAGCAGAAGATTTTCTAGAATTAATTGACGATTGCTTTCTTACGCAACACATTAAGGAACCAACACGGGAAAATAATATTTTAGATTTAGTGTTAACTAACAGGGAAACGCAAATTAATGACATCGAAATAGGGAGTGAGCTAGGGAGCAGTGATCACAAAGAAATCAGATTTAGCATAGAATGGAATAGACCAGTAGGAGAAAATTCTGTTAAAGTGCCAGATTTTCGAAAAGCTGATTTTAATAGCCTAAGAAATTTTTTGGGTCAAATTGATTGGAAAGGCTTGGGTATGGGGTGTGGGCCGGTCTTGGAGCGAGACATGAACCCAGCGATAGGTGACTTAAATGGGGATTTCGATGTGGATTCAATATATAACTTATTTAAGAATATTCTAAACAAAGCACAGGAACGTAGTATACCATACAAATTGAATAGATCGTATACTAATGACCCAAAGTGGATAACAAAGAATTTGAAGAACCTTATAGGTAAAAAGAGAGCTTGGTACAAAAGGATTAAAAATGGGGAGGTCACTTTAGAACAGGAATTCGTACAACTGGTTAGAAATGTTAAAAAAGAGATAAGGAAAGCAAAAAGAAACTATGAAGTTCGCATAGCAGGGCAAGCAAAGACAAATCCTAAAGGGTTTTTTCAGTTATATCGTACTAAGGCTAGGGAAAGGATAGGTCCATTAAAAACTGAGACAGGTCAAATAACAGATAGTGATGAAGAGATGAGTAGTATTTTTAATAAATATTTTGTATCTGTATTTACTAAAGAGGAACTTAACAATATGCCTTCAGCCGAACAAGTCTATGTGGGTGGGGACGAGGACAGGTTGACGAGTTTAGCAGTTACCAGGGAGGATGTTCTTAAACAAATAGTAAAACTCAAACCAAACAAATCCCCAGGGCCGGATGAAGTGTTTGCTAGGGTGCTTAAAGAATGCAAAGAGGAGCTTTGTGACCCACTGTCAACCATATTTAATAAATCAATAGAGTCAGGCAGAGTGCCAGAGTTTTGGAAAGTTGCTAATGTGATACCAGTTTTTAAGAAAGGAGATAGATCACTTGCGTCTAACTATCGACCAATTAGCCTAACGTCTATTGTGGGAAAGTTACTCGAATCTATAATAGCAAATAAAATTCGTCTTCATCTTGAAAAACATAAATTAATAATTGAGTCGCAACATGGTTTTATAAATGGCCGTTCATGTTTAACAAATTTGTTATCTTTTTATTCTAGCATTGTTGAGGCAGTTGATAGTGGTAAGGATTGCGATGTTGTATACCTTGACTTTAGCAAAGCTTTTGATACAGTGCCACATGAAAGACTGATTAAAAAAATAGAGTCTCATGGTATTGGGGGTGCTATATTAAGCTGGATTAGGGCATGGCTATACCAAAGGAAACAGAGAGTTAGTATAAATGGAATCAAGTCAGAGTGGGAAAATGTTGTAAGTGGAGTGCCTCAAGGCTCTGTCCTGGGACCTCTGTTGTTTATAATATATATAAATGATTTAGATTCAGGTTTGAGTAGCAACATTTGCAAATTTGCCGATGATACGAAAATCGGTAGGGAAATTAATTCGGAGGAGGACTCACTATCACTTCAAGTTGATCTAGATAGGGTTTTGAAATGGTCAAAGGATTGGCAGATGCAGTTTAATGCTGATAAATGTAAAGTTCTGAGGTTAGGTAATGATGATAGAGTTACAAGATACGAGCTAGATGGTGTTGTGATTGCGAAGTCGGATTGCGAAAGGGATCTGGGAGTTATGATTAGTAAGAATTTAAAACAAAAGGATCAATGCATAAATGTTCGTAATAAGGCAAATCGGACACTTGGATTTATTAATCGCAGCGTTAGTAACAAGACACCTGGTGTGGTTCTCAAGCTATATCTTGCTCTAGTTAGGCCCCATTTAGATTATGCAGTTCAGTTTTGGTCGCCATATTATAGAATGGATATAAATTCACTTGAACGTGTCCAGCGTAGGATGACTAAGTTAATTCCCCAAATTAGAAATCTTTCATATGAAGAAAGATTAACAAAGCTTAAGTTGCATTCACTGGAAAGGCGAAGAGTTAGGGGTGACATGATAGAGGTTTACAAGTGGATGAATGGACATAACCGGGGGGATATTAATAGGGTATTAAAAGTATCTACACAGGACAGAACACGAAACAATGGATATAAATTGGATAAGTTTAGATTTAGGAAAGACTTGGGTAAATACTGGTTCAGTAACAGGGTTGTTGATTTGTGGAACCAATTGCCGCGTAACATTGTGGAGGTGGGGTCCCTCGATTGTTTCAAGCACGGGTTGGACAAGTATATGAGTGGGATTGGGTGGTTATAGAATAGGAGCTGCCTCGTATGGGCCAATAGGCCTTCTGCAGTTACCTTTGTTCTTATGTTCTTATGTTCATAGACCCTAAACTGTTCATTTATCTTGAGCATATACAAGTTTACAGCATCTAGAAGTTATCTTCAATAGTTGTGGTATAACATTATACTATAACTGATGCAAATAATCAAGTGAAATACACAAAGAAGTCACACTAACTATATTTTTAATTTGATTTTCTCAGTATCGATGAGAAAATCAATTGGAACACTGAGGTTATTCGAACCCGCGATCAAGGTACTCTCAGACGTGCACCTTATCCCACTTACCCCATGCCCACTGGGCTACACCACCAGGGTATCATGCCCACTGGGCTACACCACCAGGGTATCATGCCCACTGGGCTACACCACCAGGGTATCATGCCCACTGGGCTACACCACCTGGGTATCATGCCCACTGGGCTACACCACCAGGGTATCATGCCCACTGGGCTACACCACCAGGGTATCATGCCCACTGGATTACACCACGTCTAGGGTCTAATGGCCAAAAAGATATACATTACATCGTCGCTTAAAAACATACTATCCTAACCAAACCAAAAGGTTTGTCTGCAAGCATTATGCTGTGTTGACGTGGCCAGTGGGCTGACGTGGCCAGTGGGCTGACGTGGACAGTGGGCTGACGTGGACAGTGTGAGTAGAGACTTTTGTCTCAGAGTCCGAGATATTGCATCCAGTGTTTATTATATGACTTGACAACTTGCATTTTTACAACCTCACTGTCACTATTGTCTCTAGTATTTGTTGGGATTAACTTACGATGAAGCAAGATTAAGCATGAGGTACCTAAATGCAGCAAGAGAAAGCATGACATAATAAAATGCAAGAGAAAGCATGAGATAACAAAATGCAGCAAGAGAAAGCATGAGATAACAAAATGCAGCAAGAGAAAGCATGAGATAACAAAATGCAGCAAGAGAAAGCATGAAATAACAAAATGCAGCAAGAGAAAGCATGAGATAACAAAATGCAGCAAGAGAAAGCATGAGATAACAAAATGCAGCAAGAGAAAGCATGAGATAACAAAATGCAGCAAGAGAAAGCATGAAATAACAAAATGCAGCAAGAGAAAGCATGAGATAACAAAATGCAGCAAGAGAAAACATGATGTAACAAAATCAAAATAGGCAAACATGAGAGAGAGAGAGAGAGAGAGAGAGAGAGAGAGAGAGAGAGAGAGAGAGAGAGAGAGAGAGAGAGAGAGAGAGAGAGAGAGAGAGAGAGAGAGATAGAGATAGAGAGAGAGAGAGAGAAGGGGGGGAGGGAGGGAGGGAGACAGGGAGAGGGAGGGAGACAGGGAGACGGAGGCAGGGAGAGACGGAAACAGGGAGACATGGAGAGACTGGGAGGCAGACCCACAGACACACACAGGCACAGAAACACAGCTTTCTCCATGGGGTTCATATTGCAGCCTTTGTTAGGCCACTCAAGGAGCTCAATATTGCGTTGTTCAACTAACAATCTGGGCATTATGAATGTGGCAAGGATCTTGCTACATGATCTGTAATACGAATTAACAATAGCTATTAACAATTCATGGCGAATATTTGATAACATTTTGAGGTTAAACTTAACAGAAAACAATGAACTTAGCAAAATATATGGCCAATGGCAAAACCTGAGTAACATTATTGACTGACAGGTAGGATTATGTTAGCTTATTTGGTGGTAAATATTTATTAAATAAGCAATACAATACCTCCATTATATTGCTTGCATGCATCATTCCCTCAGTTGGGTTCTTTTGCAGAGGGGTTCTGGCTCTTCTGCTAAGAGGAGTCAATAGTGTTGGGGTCTCGTCTGCTGTTGGCCAGAGTAGGTCTCTGCTGGTCACATTCTAAGGTCCTTTCACTTCATTTAGCAGATTCCTCTTCTGCTTTATGTTGCAGTCAAATATTGATTTAGGGTGGTTCTGCTTGCAAGTCTTTGTGACAGTTTTTTTTCCATGTCCCCCTCTGACAGCACAGCAGGGGGACATTTGGTCCATTTTGCCAGCCAGTTCCTGGTCCCAAAATTTGTGGGCTTATTTCCCAGGGTCTCCGGTGTGATTGGTCTGCCCCCCCCCCCTCCCCCCCAATCTCCCTTGGTTAGGTTCAGTGGTGCTGGGTCAAGAGTTGTTCTTTCAACTCTGGAAGCTTATAGCAATGTGGTTGAACTTGAGCATGGCCGAATTAACCTCCTACATTTAGTGGGTGTCCTGGATATTCACAGTCCCAAAGCAGAACTAGGTGAACCTACAGTACGTACATTCTCAACCGCTCGTGACTGACTGTACTGTACTTAAATACTGTACATTATAGTTTTGTTAAATTTTTTCTTCAATCCAGAACAAAATTGACATCTGGAGCAGTTCTCTTCCAATTAAGATTCGTGAGCACTAGTTAAGGGGGGATAAAAGCCCTAAACAAGAAAATAATCAATGCAGAATATGCAGTGATATTCAATGAAACATGTCTAAATGAAACCCGTTACCAAAAATATACATACTGTGTGTGTATTTATATATGTTGTACCTAGTAGCCAGAACGTCGTACTCGGACTACTATGCCAGACCCGATTTGCCTAATAGGCCAAGTTTTCCTGAATTTATATATTTTTCTAATTTCTTTTCTAATGAAATGATAAATCTATCCATTTCATTATGTATAAGTTAATTTATTTAAATTTGAGGTAAAACTAACATAGATATATGACCGAACCTAACCAACCCTACCTAACCTAACCTAACCTATCTTAACCTAACCTAAACTAACAAAACTAAGTCAATAAATTATGTTCCTAATATAATATAATAATAATAATTCCAATGAGCTAATTGGAAACAATTTATTGAAAATAAAGAAAATTACTCGGCTTATTAGGCAAATCGGGCATTGCATAATAGGCTGAGAAGTGCGTTCTGGCTACTAGGTACGATATATATATATATATATATATATATATATATATATATATATATATATATATATATATATATATATATGAGATATTTCAAATATGAAGACTTCACTCTTATTTGTATTACTTTTTCCAAGGATGTTAGGGAAATGTGATGCAAATGAGATTGAAGTCTTCATATTTGAAAGCTCTAGTAACTCCATAATGTTGCATTAGCAAAGATTGGTGTGCATATATATATATATATATATATATATATATATATATATATATATATATGAATGAAAACTCACACCCCAGAAGTGACTCGAACCCATACTCCCAGAAGCAACACAACTGGTAACTACAGGGCGCCTTAATCCGCTTGACCATCACGGCCGTCAAAAGGAAGTGATAGCCATTACCATTACCAAGATTACCATCCGAGTTGCCGTCGGGGAAGTGGCTCAAATAGCCTCGGCTATCACTTCCTTTTGACGGCCGTGATGGTCAAGCGGATTAAGGCGCCCTGTAGTTACCAGTTGTGTTGCTTCTGGGAGTATGGGTTCGAGTCACTTCTGGGGTGTGAGTTTTCATTCGCATATAGTCCTGGGGACCATTCAGGCTTGTTCGCATATATATATATATATATATATATATATATATATATATATATATATATATATATATATATATATATACTGTATATATATACACACACTGTATACACACACACACATTTTATATACTGTATTTATAATCAATGCTAAATATTCACCAAATTTGCTAATGCAACATTATGGAGTTACTAGAGCTTTCAAATATGAAGACTTCAATCTCATTTGCATCACATTTCCCTAACATCCTTGGAAAAAGTAATACAAATAAGAGTGAAGTCTTCATATTTGAAATATCTCATAAATCCATAATGTTACATTAGCAAAGATTGTAAGCGTTTAGTTTTAAAGTCACAATTCAGAAAGATTTCCACAACTTGACAGAGGGGTGCTAATACTTTACTGTAGTACAGTCCACAATAGAGAATTCCGGGTTGGAATCCTGGGCGGGGCAGAAATGGTTGGGAGTGTTTCCTATCACCTATTGCCCCCCTCCTCCTGTTCACCAATCAGTAAATAGGTACCCAGAAGTCAGTCAGATTGTTGTGGGGTTGCATCCTGGGGAGGATCAGTAGTTCAACCTTGTGGGAGACCTCAATATATGCCTAACATGTATATAAGCAATATCTGCCTGTACCCAGACACAATGAATTATATTTAGCTTTAGTATGAAGCTCACAAAATTAATGTAAAATATATTGATCAGTAGCAATAGAAAACAACTTACCTTAATATTCATCTTTCCCATATTGCTTGACAATGAAACTTCCAAAAGGATCAAGTTCATTTTTCATTTCATAAGATATGTGAACCATGAAAACTGCAGTTTACCACCTTACCTTAAGGTGCTTCTGGGGCTTAGCATTCCCACGGCCCGGTCGTCAACCAGGCCTCCTGCGTCGACCAAGCTTCCTGGTCGACGCAGGCATCATCGATACGTTGATAGGCGTTGAAGAGGCGTTGATACCACAATTGTATCTTATGTACTCACTGAAAACAAAGTACTGTATTTTTTTCCCTTTAGCAAGCTTACTTTGTCATTATACAGTACCGTAATAATTAGTTATTTGTATGATACATAAAAAATACTTCTTGAAGATACCAGTTAAATCTTTAAAAATTATCCCAGCATATTTCCTGCATTCTTAAAGTAAGTTCTTGCATTCATATTTCTCAAGGTCTCTATGAGTTACAGTAAACTTGTGTATAGTAGATGCAATTATTAATCTATTAATTCTTGTAATACATCTTTTCTCTGCATTTTTACATTCCCATCCACACATTATACTTGCCCTTCCCATCCACACTGGATACTGGCCCTTCCCATCCATGCTGGATACTGGCCCTTCCCATCCATGCAAGATACTGGCCCTTCCCATCCATGCAAGATACTGGCCCTTCCCATCCATGCAGGATACTGGCCCTTCCCATCCATGCAAGATACTGGCCCTTCCCATCCATGCTGGATACTGGCCCTTCCCATCCACTGGATACTGGCCCTTCCCATCCATGCATGATACTTTCTCTTCCCGAAATAATAAGCACAATAGAATAAATAACATCAGCAATGACAAATATAATTATTAAATAGTTATCAGCATACTTCTCAGATTAGTTTATCAGAACTAGCTAAAAAAATTACATATAGTTTCCTTAATTATATCCAATACACTTATGCAAGTGTAAGAGAAAATATGTAGCATCTTTCCAAAGTAGTTTTAACATGAATTTAAATAACATGGCTATAATTAAATACATATGAAAATAAAACCCAATTTTATTAGTCAACTTTGTTTATAACTAATTTTGTCACCAAATATTAGTTTTCATTTGCTCAATCTAAGAATTCCAACTTATCTTACGTACGTAGTGCGGTCGACTCCATTCTATAGGCAGTACCAAGGCATCCTGGTGCCTGCCCCACTCATGCCAACAACACCAGCCCAGAGTGTACACCCATCCTAATCTGGATCTTTTCTCCAGGCACAGAAGGAAGGAGAAGGGTCTCCGGAGCCACTGGAGTAGGTCCGGAGCCATGGAAACCATTTCTGCTGCGTGGTCCTTACCTGCCAAGGTAGACGGCACTGGAGTCTCATAGACCAGCCATGAAATGTGGTACACAAACATGTTAAGTCTTCCCAAAATTGGTAGTTTAGTGTAATTGTAGTTTTGAGCAATATTTAATGAAAAAGGCCAGAGATTAAGGTACAGTATATAACTGATGTGGCTTGTTTTTGTAGTCAAGACTAAATAATCAATTTTTTCAGATGTTCGGAGTCTGAACACAGCAGTAATTTGGTTTGGAGATAATCTTTAAAATATATAAACAACAAATTACAAAAATAACCAAACTTTTGAAAGGTTCCTTTCTAAATAAGCCATTCTGGCCCTACCAAACATGTGTGATCAAACTTTGCTATCACTGGACAGTTACATTTTAAGGCATTGATGCCACTGTGACTATGGCACTCCTACAGAACCATTTTATGTTGAAAGAGGGGAAAAAACATACAACCCAGCTCAAGAGAATGGCAACAAGAAGACACTGTTGTGGGCATCCCCCAAATGACCAGCTCACTGGGAAGTGACCCTGTCCACAGTCAAACATATGGAACTCCACGAAACACATCAATATGCAAAGTGTGAATCATACTGAATCGGCCTGAAACACTATGCATGTTAGTGGCTTTGTATGAATGTAAAAATACCAATCTTAGGTAATCTCATCAACCCAATGTACCTTCTTGCAAATAAAATTATTATTATTATTATTATTATTATTATTATTCTAGAAGCTAGTTACTTTGGTGGTTTTTTGAGTTAGCTCGCCACTGCCAAAAAATTAACAGATGTCATGGTTGAGGACAAGGTCAGTGAGAACCAGACCTGTGATACAATTCTTGCGTGAACCATAATAGCTCTAGCACATGAAACATCCAAGAGACCTTGGCACAGAAATCTCATTACTAGCTTACCCCACTCAACTGTGTAGTGGGGTGAGGAGCCGAGATGGTGCCTCACAGAAAAGTGGCCGAGAACCTCCTTTAGAAGATCTCAACCAACTTTTTTCTTTAATATACAGTATTTACATATAGCCCCATTTCTACTTACCGATTCTTTGAGGCACCCCCCTGGCCACTATGGCCACCAATATTCTCAGTCTTGTAGATAACATATCATATACAGTACTGTAGTTCAATTCTGGAGACACATCTTGTAGAACAGGTTCATGTTATAGGAAGTACCTTGTGTAAATGAATAAGGTACAAGGTCCTGTACTTGTCGAGGCCACTAAGGTTAGTGGCCCTCAGGTAAATCAGGTAAAAGATGAAAATGTGTCTTCCATTTGTCCTTGTAGGAATACATGCCAATATGCTCCATACATACTAAGACATTCCACAATATATATCAGTAAAACGAGGCTTTCCACTTAATACCTCAAACACAGATGAATTAGTGAATCAAAGTAATTAATACTCACTGGTGTCTGATACAAAGAAATATGAACTGTTTCCTTGAAAGGAGACTTTCTTACATGAAACAATGTACAGTAGTATCTCTGTCGCCTATGAACAGTACTGTACCTTCACTATAGGGACACACTTAGTACATATTGGCATATAATGTAATTTCTAAATAATTTTACATATACAATTTCTAATTATTTTAATCCTTGAACCCCCTAACATTACATATCAGTAGCTTTCACTAGAGTGAGATTTAGCATATCTCAAAGGATTAAAAATAATAAAAAGCAAGCTTGAATTAAAAAAATTTGAAGCAGTAAGAAAATACACATAACCCCCTCTATGATATCTTAGTAAGCACTGAAGCTAGATAGAGTATCACGGTTAGACTCGTGCAAAACCCACATGATCATGTGAAACATTCAGTACGGTGGGACTCCAGAAACACCACATTATGTCTACTGGGTTAAGCCAGGAAAATATTAGTGGTGCACCAGTACCATTTTTGCCCAAAACTGTAAAGATTTATTGGGCAATAACAAAGATATAGTACTATAGAAAGACCAGCACCTGGATACTGATACAAAATATTGTTTTAGATGCTAGAGCTTATCAAGACAACAATGCTTCCTGTAATCTCAGGGTTTGTAAAAGATGTAGTCAATTAAATAATAATAATAATAATAATAATAATAATAATAATAATAATAATAATAATAATATCACATTAATTCCTACAGAATCCATTAAATTAAACCATTTGTTAAATGGACTTCCCAACAGGATTAGTGATTTGTAACATTTAAATAAATAAAAACAAAGCTATTTTGCTTTGCTAATCAGTCATGAAGAAGTTCAGGGCAAGATGCCTTACACTCCTACAATGATGAGTTTGAAACTTTCAATGGAACCATGAATGTGCTTTAGAATAATGGAATACCTCCCTGCAGAGTACAGAATGTTACAACATATTTTAGATAGTCTGTTTAAAACTTAGGTTGTGAGGCAGGACCAAGTAGCTAAAGTTCAAACACCCCATAAGCACAAGTACAAGAGTGTTGAGAAGGAGGGCACATGGCAGGACGGGGGAAGAGTGGGAGTGGTGCAGAAGGCAGGAAAGAGGGTTTGTGGGAATGGGGTGGAGTTAGAATTGGAGTTTGTGGGGAAGGTTGGGGGATAGGAAAATGTGTTTACGGGCAAAGCGGTTTAGAGTGGAAATGGAAAGGATGAGGGCACTGGTGGTTTGGATTGGGATTTGGTGGGGATAGGATTAGTAGCAGGAGTGGTTGTGGTGCTGATGCGGATGGATAGGCCAATGACTGGTTGGATAGGATGGATAAGATGATAGGAGGCAGGTCAGCATAATTCTCAGAGGCCTAGTATACTTCTTAAGGTTTGGCTGCTCCACTTGGTAATTGAATGGGTATCTCAGAAACAACAATGTTTACATAGATCATTTACACAGACAAATATAAAAGAATAACCCACTGTACTTTCTTGTAATTTTGATTGAAATAAGAACTTCATTGCCAAATTGTTTAATTTACATCCATCATAACAAAATACAATAGTCAAACCTGAATGGGCATTCTTTCTGAAGACAGCTCTGTGAATCCAACAATGTCAGAAATGTAGATGTGACTGATTCATAAGTTTTGGCCATTACACCTAGATGCAGCTTTCACTCCTGGATGGCAGCATTTAGTAGAAGACCATATCTGACCACTTCTGTCCATAGAATAATCCAGGTGTTTTGTACACGAGTGTCTCTGAAAATGCCTGTAGGAGAGAGTATGTCATCAGAAGTTTTACTGGAAGTGAAGTCAGCTGGCGAGCAGCTGTTCATACTGCCTGCCACTACTAGACACACGTATATTTCAATGTCAACAGTGACATACATACCCATGCCAAGAGATTTTAGTGTTGTTTGTCAGGATCGTAACAAACATCACTAAAATAAATGATATACAATGACAACAGGAGACTGAACACTGGTGAAGCACTGCACATCGAACAAACGCAACAGCAAGCTAACACCTGATTAAGCTGCCAACTTCGAGACCAAGATGGAACATCCGACATACTGACCCCAGCCATCATTGAAACAGGAGATTGGTAAGCTGCACTCAAGTACAGGAGAAATAGGTGATACACGGGGAAGACTAGTCCCATTGGGTAGCAGTTAGTTGCCTTGGAATCCTTCCCTTTTAAGGCTTGCCCAGCAGGACAGTTGATAAAGAGTGACTGTCTCCCATGCCAGGGGTCAGGTGTTCAAGGCCCCTACTGCCCAAGGTGAATGAAATGTTGCATTCAGGGTAGTATGGTATAAAGTTTTTATGATTCTGGGCATGGATCACCTAATTTTCCTGTTAACATTTCTTAAGGTTATTACTAGGAGCTGGGTTTTATTTTTTTTTACTGCAGCTCCCACTTATAGTGCAACTTTCAGTGATTGGAGGATTCTGGTTCCAAGATACTTTTCTTCATCAATCTGTTGCAAACTTAAGGGTGTTGATTTGGTAGTTGTGTTGAGCACTGTTATGCCCCACATGCAAGGCATTGTATTTTCGATATTAAAAAACATTTGCCAATCTTCCAAGTACTTTTGGAATTCATGTAGGTTTCTTTGTTAGGCCTTAATTTCATTGTCACTTCCCACTTTATCATAAATCTTAGTGTCATCTGCAAATGTGATGATGTAGATTGTTATACTGTATTCTCATCTATGTCATTTATTTATATGACAAAAAAAGGGTTAGCCCCAAAATGATCCTTGCAGTACCTCACTCACCACATATCTCCAGTCAGATACAGTACAGTACATTTCCATTTAGGACCTTCAGTGTCCTTCAGTGGGGCTCCAAACTTTCTGTGATTTCAGTAGGAATCCGGTTGTGTGACCGATACAATTCTGTGGTGGTCTAGTGGTAGAGTACGTGACTGGCAATGCCGGGGTCGTAGGTCCACACCCCACCTATAGTCCCAGTGGATTTTCTCAATTATTATTATTATTATTGTTATTATATTGTTAAGACATAGAAGTTGCAGTGAGAATTTTTTTTACTAGCCGTCACTGTAATTAGACACGTGCACTATGCTTTAGTGACTTTAGAAGATTGTAAAAACATCAATGTTATGTACTCTCATAAACCAAATGTACCTTTTTGTATACCTGGTTGATACCTGGTTGATGGGGTTCTGGGAGTTCTTCTACTCCCCAAGCCCGGCCCGAGGCCAGGCTTGACTTGTGAGAGTTTGGTCCACCAGGCTGTTGCTTGCAACGGCCCGCAGGCCCACATACCCACCACAGCCCGGTTGGTCCGGCACTCCTTGGAGGAATAAATCTAGTTTCCTCTTGAAAATGTCCACGGTTGTTCCGGCAATATTTCTTATGCTTGCTGGGAGGACGTTGAACAACCGCGGACCTCTGATGTTTATACAGTGTTCTCTGATTGTGCCTATGGCACCTCTGCTCTTCACTGGTTCTATTCTACATTTTCTTCCATATCGTTTACTCCAGTACGTTGTTATTTTACTGTGTAGATTTGGTACTTGGCCCTCCAGTATCTTCCAGGTGTATATTATTTGATATCTCTCTCGTCTTCTTTCTAGTGAGTACATTTGGAGGGCTTTGAGACGATCCCAATAATTTAGGTGCTTTATTGCGTCTATGCGTGCCGTATATGTTCTCTGTATTCCCTCTATTTCAGCAATCTCTCCTGCTCTGAAGGGGGAAGTGAGTACTGAGCAGTACTCAAGACGGGACAACACAAGTGACTTGAAGAGTACAACCATTGTGATGGGATCCCTGGATTTGAAAGTTCTCGTAATCCATCCTATCATTTTTCTGGCTGTCACAATATTTGCTTGGTTATGCTCCTTAAACGTTAGGTCGTCAGACATTATTATTCCCAAATCCTTTACATGCTGTTTTCCTACTATGGGTACATTTGATTGTGTTTTGTACTCTGTATTATGTTTAAGGTCCTCATTTTTACCGTACCTGAGTACCTGGAATTTATCACTGTTAAACATCATGTTATTTTCTGATGCCCAGTCGAAAACTTTATTAATTAATATCAGCTTGAAGTTTTTCAATGTCCTCAGCCGAGGTAATTTTCATACTGATTTTTGTGTCATCTGCAATACTCATCTGTATACTCATATATAAATCAATAAATAAACCTGTAAACTCCAGGTGATGTGTCTATCCTCCCATAATGACAGTTGTAAGGCTTGTGTTGGGTTCAAGTGTGCCAACCTCTGGAGGGTTTTCCCCGAGAGCCACTAACACTAGTGGCCTCGACGAGGACAGGAAGTCAGCGGCTTGTCGAAGGTTTCCCCCCTATTAATTTTCAACAACAATGCAATAACTTACTTGACCACCTAGCAAGTATAATTCAGTACTGAACAAAATCTAACATTAAAGTAAACTCTGTTATTGTTTAAGATTCAGTTACACCGAACAAAACGTTTCAAGTAGCACGGGCTATGGAGAGTCCTACCTGGCACAGGAGTGGCAAGTAGCACGGGCTATAGTGAGCCCGTAGTGGACTTACCTGGCACAGCTGCGGTGCAAGTAGCATAGGCTATGGTGAGCCCGTAGTGGACATACCTGGCACAGGAGCGGGGCTGTAATTGTGGAGTAAATTCTTGGTTGTTATATATATATACATACACACAGAGAAATGAGGTGCACCTTCCGGTGTACTTACATCTCTCTTGAACTATTTCTGCCCTTCTTCTTCTTGATAGAAGGTGCAGTTTGCATGAAGGGTTTGTCCTTCCAATGACTGCTTCAAGACCGTCTACAAGATCGTCTCCTGCTTCATAATTATGTTGTTATGACGTCAAACAGTTGCGGCCCGAGTAGCAGTTTACATTTTCTTTGGTCTACACTACTTTTGGAGAAACTGTAGTAAATTAGAGTTTACTGTTTGTGTAAAGACTGAGTAGTTTATGATGATTGTGTTTGAATTTGCTCTTGGGTTGAGATCAATTAAATGGCCTGTATTCACCTAGTTGTGTTTGCGGGGGTTGAGCTCTGGATCTTTGGTCCCGCCTCTCAACCGTCAATCAACAGGTGTACAGATTCCTGAGCCTATTGGGCTCTATCATATCTACACTTGAAACTGTGTATAGAGTCAGCCTCCACCACATCACTTCCTAATGCATTCCATTTGTCAACCACTCTGACACTAAAAAAGTTCTTTCCAATATCCTGTGTGGTTACGGTGAAGCAAGGAACTGTTCAAGGTTAGTTTCATGAGATAAATCAGGGTTTTAATACAGCTTATACATTTATAGCCTATTTTTTAATATATAAGCTGCGTAGTGTTTTTGTTTAGTTCATATATTATGCACCCCATACCCATCTTGTGGGCGGTAGTGTAAAAGGTTACAGAGGCACATAATGGGCTCAGGGACTGAAACCCAAAATTCATTTATTAAAGCAAGTTACAGTCTTGATAATCTAGGATGACCAAACCACACCCGTGGCGCAGTGGTACAACACTCGCCCAGTTCTTCACGAGCGCTTTGGCCTGGGTTAGTATCCTAAGAATGAAGGTTACTGCAGAAGGCCTATTGGCCCATAGTATCCTGGCCGGGAAAGATTGACTAGGATTGACTAGATTGATTATGAATTTTGTAACTAGCTCATCAAGATTGTAACTTGCTTAGCTAAATGAATTGTGGGGTTCAGTCCCTGAGCCCATTATGTGCCTCTGTAACCCTTTCCACTACCGCCCACAAGATGGGTATGGGGTGCATAACAAATGAACTAAACTAACTAACTTGATTAGGATTGACTAGGCTGACCTCGCCTAGGATTGACTAGGCGAGGTCAGTAATTCGACCTTGTGGAGGGGGGTCGAATTACCTTGACCTTGTGGGGGGAGGGGGGGAGATAAAAGCCTAACGTGTATGAATACACTCTGTCTGCTTGTCTCCCGACACAATGAATTATTATTAATTATATTACATGTGTTGAAAGCTAGCGTCACAATTGACATGTTTAACCTGCACATGCCGCCCCTTAACCAGTGAGCTGTGGTGGAAACGTTAACAATTTCAATTTCTTTCTTTATTATGCACCCCATACCCATCCCGTGGGCGGTGGTGTAAAGGATTACAGAGGCACATAATCGGTTCAGGATCCAAACGTTAACAAACATTTACATTTGCTATCTGCAGGTAGTGTTTAGTTTAGTTCATTTATTATGCACCTTATACCCATCCTGTGGACGGTCGAGGAAAGGGTTACAGAGGCACATAATGGGCTTAGGGATTGAACCCCAAGATTCATGTAGCTAACCAAGTTACAATCCTTAATGTACCTACTTTTTTATCAAATGTAAAACGGCTTTACAAGAATGTAAAACGTCAAATCTCTGTACTCTAATAAACCCAATGTTCCTTCTTGAATATAAACAAATAAATAAATAAATCTTGATGAGCTAGTTACAAAATTCAATACATATCGTCACATCATCAATGGGCTCGAGATCGACCACAAGTACAGTTTCTAAATTAAGCGTGTATATACTAACAATCATAAATAACAAAATAACAACTCTTTTATTGCCTGTAATATCTGTCTCTACATTATATGTAGTCTCACTATCTGGGTCTACATTATATGTAGCCTCACAATCTGGGTCTACATTATATGTAGCCTTACTATCTGCCTGGATCTACATTATATATAGCCTCACTATCTGGGTATACATTATATGTGGCCTCACTATCTGTCTCTACATTATATGTAGCCTCACTATCTGGGTCTACATTATATGTAGCCTCACTATCTGGGTCTACATTATATGTAGCCTCACTATCTGGGTCTACATTATATGTAGCCACACTATCTGGGTCTACATTATATGTAGCCTCACTATCTTGGCTTATATATATATAACTAAATGGAGTGATTTGAGCTCCATTTATATATAGAGTGACTTGAACTCGCGTTCTGATTGTCAGACGCCTACCTTAACCGACTCTGCCACGATGGTACAAAATCACTCTACTGAGTTCTCTGGGAGGTCAATTAGGCTGCAAGCTGACTAGTACCCATACGAAAGGACCTTGCGTTTTCAAGAGGCTACACAAAATGTCAATATTTATTTATATTAAATCTTATAAGTTTTTACGTCGTCTTACTTTTCCATACCTCTGTTAACTAGAAGGTTGATGAGAGATATTTAGAGATGAATGACAGTGATAATAATAATAATGGCATCCTGAAATGACAAGTGTGACGTCTGAGCAAGGATTAAAGGAAGTCAGCCTAGCACATAAGAGGAATTAGAGAAGGTCAGAAGGAGAGGGGTACACTAGGCCTCAGTTAGGAGGTTCCGTTACTCCAGAGGTAAGTAACTAGAACGAACCAGGAACCTCCTTGCGATTTATGAGTTTCTTTCTAGTACACCCCACCCGGTGCAACAGTAGTTTGGAAGAGTACAGACTGTACAATGACACTCACATAAGCTAACCATAACAAGGGTGAACCAGGGCGCCAACAACAGCCTTCCACAATACAAGCTTTCCATCACCTAATTATCAAGGGTTCCATAACAATAAACACCAATCGAGATGGCGTGTGATAAGCAGCGGCAGGTGTCGTCTAGATTCCTCATCAGCCAGTGAAGAAGCTGGCACGATAAGACAATAAAGGGTTGGAGGGTGGTGACAAGCCTTATCAGGTGAGCTACCTCCTGGGAGCTGTTAGGTGATTAGCAGAGCTAGTGTTAAGCCTGGTAGTGCCCGGGCAGGACTTCCTGATAGTGCCCCAAGAGGACTTCCTGGTAGTGCTTCAGCAACACTTTCAGGTAGTCACTGGAAGCGCCTGGGCAGGGCTTCCTGGTAGCGTCTGAGTAGGACTTTCTAGTAACCCCTTGGAAGAACTTCCCGGAAGGGCCCCAGAAGGACTTTATAGTAGTCCATGGTAGCACCCGAACATGACTGACTGGTAGCGCGCCTGGGCACGACTTCCTGGTAGCGCCTGGGCACGACTTCCTGGTAGCGCCTGGGCACGACTTCCTGGTAGCGCCTGGGCACGACTTCCTGGTAGCGCCTGGGCACGACTTCCTGGTAGCGCCTGGGCACGACTTCCTGGTAGCGCCTGGGCACGACTTCCTGGTAGCGCCTGGGCACGACTTCCTGGTAGCGCCTGGGCACGACTTCCTGGTAGCACCTGGACACGACTTTCTGGTAGCACCTGGGCACTACTTCCTGGTGGCGCCTGGACATACAGGTGGGTCAAGCGTTTCACTGGAAGAGAGTGGTAGGTCCAGCGTCTCCCATATATACTCAGCCTACTCCCATATATTATCAGGCTACATATAATGCAGAGACAGATAGTGAGGCTACATATAACGTAGAGGCAGATAGTGAGGCTACATATAACGTAGAGGCAGATAGTGAGGCTACATATAACGTAGAGGCAGATAGTGAGGCTACATATAATGTAGAGCCAGATAGTGAGGCTACATGTAATGTCAAGCCAGATAGTGAGGCTACATATAATGTAGAGGCAGATAGTGAGGCTACACATAATGTAGAGGAAGATAGTGAGGTTACATATAATGTAGAGCCAGAGAGTGAGGCTACATATTATGTAGAGACAGATAGTGAGGCTACACATAATGTAGAGGCAGATAGTGAGGCTACATATAACGTAGAGCCAGATAGTGAGGCTACATATATACTACAAACAATCATCATGTTCTCCAACTCTGACGAAAAATACTAGTGTGCTGAGGAAAATATGTTATTGTGACAACAATATGTAACCCTGGGTAGAATGATCCTTAGAATTTTGCGATAAAATTTATATACAAGTATTTCAGTAATGCTTATATATATTTAGAAAATGTGTGGTATAAATGTGTGACTTGAAAGAACAAATTACCCTTACAAAAATTAGATTTCTCATTTACTTAGAAAAATATTGATTCATTTATATACGTGCTTTTTCCTATAATTATCTATACTGTGATATAGGATTTGCCTTGTTTATTATAATGAACAAGAGTTGCAGTCGAGGCTGGCAAAATGCTTCACGTCGAAATATGAGCACCTTTAATAAACTGTTATGAATATCATGACCGTATTTGACAATAATTTAAGTGAAATCAAAATTACCGCGAAAAGGTACGCATGTTTATATATATATATACATATTATATAATATTCTTGAAGAGGCTTGTATATAACGTCATCACTCATTAATATAGCATTTGAATCAAGGTCAAATAAATAATGAGTTAAGGAGACCCCAACAAGGATTTATTAGAAACAAAATTCAGTTTGTATTAAATCCTTGTTTTAATACCACAGTAAAGCTCTATTTCTTTAACAACATGAACTTTATTTCAAGGAAATCAACAACACAATTAATATTCTCTTCGTGCCTTTTATATTAAAATTAAATGCAGCACAAAAATTAATTGGTGAATGTGTAAGATAATAATGCCAAGAACTTTGCATCTTTCACTACCGTTTGGGATGAAAATGTATTTATAACACTACCTTAACAGAAGCGAATGTTAAGTTCCCGAGCTGCGGCCTTCAGCGTGGAGGCGCTGCTCACCTGTTCCCCAGAGAGAGAGGCCAGGCAGCAGCAGCAGGGGCAGCAGCAGCAGCAGAGGCAGCAGCATCAGCACTATCAGCAGCATCAGCAGCATCACCAGCAGGAGCAGAGGCAGCAGCAGCATCCGCAGGTTCAGCAGCAGCAGCATCAGCATCAGCAGCAGCAGCAGCAGCACGCTGGCCAGGGAAGGTCAGCCCAGCTGGTGAGTGAAGCAGGGCACCTCAGGCCCGGCGCGCCACCTGGCAGGAACCACGAGGACTCTACCGCCATGGTCCACATGGCGGAAGCGTGCGGGTCGCCCAACTCTTCCCCCATGCAGCAAGAACCAGAGAACGAGGGCCGGAAGCCAGCGCTGCCTTCCTCAAGGACTGAAGGAGAGACAAGACGGGGAGAGAGAGAGACGGGCGAGACAGCAGCAGCAACAAGTGACGCCCAACTGTCTCAAGTGACGGGTGCTCACGATGACGGATATACCAGCGAGGAAGAGCAGCAGATCGTCGACGTGGAACACTGCTCCAGTACGTCTTCTTTTCTCTCGTCAATTATGATAATATGCAATATTTCAGTATTGTTTTCGTTAGTTTTAGCAGGACATTTGTTATGTTGGTGTATTATTTGTTTCTATACTAAAGTTTGAATGCATGTAGCTGCTGTACCTTCTGCCCGTCACATTAGGCTACTTGACTCTACATTGCTTCACATTAGGCTACGTGACTACATTCATATAACACATTAATATATATATATATATATATATATATATATATATATATATATATATATATATATATATATATATATATATATATATATATATATATATATATATATATATATATATATATATATATATATATGCGGAAAATCCACAGAGTAATGTGAAAGGAAGTGAACGTTTCGGCCTGATTAAAGCCTTTGTTAACACACGACTGTGTTGACAGTGTCGTGTGTTGACAAAGGCTTTAATCAGGCCGAAACGTTCACTTCATTTCACATTTCTTTGTGGATTTTCCGCATAAAAATGATCAGTGTTTTGTGATCGTCAATTGCATATATTATATATATAAAGCATCGATTATCTGCCTTGATGTTCAGGTCCCCCTCCTAGCAATCCTGGGGAAGGCGCCTTAAGAGTACTGTTGTCTCCCACCACCTCAGCTCCACCAGTCTGTCACACTAGTGGCAGACCACCAGGGGAAATACCCCAGCATCATTTCGGAGAGGATATTTTCCCTTCGGCGTCGCCTACAGCAGCCACAGATTGGCAGGCAAGTGACAATGGTGCCGTACCGTGGGCCGTACTTCTGTACTGTTGCCTTCCCTGTGTTGTATGATGGGTTGTATGTGGTGTCATAGAAGATATTGAACAGTGTTCAATGCGTGTCCGTGCTTGAGTTGAGTACCATGAGTAAGTAGTGCTGGTGAGGGTTTTACCATATTGTAACCCCTTGAAATCATAATTCATTGACATGAATTATTAATTAAATAGTATTCGGTAAATATTTAATTAAGAATAAAATGTGGAAAATAAGGTCCGTGTGAATGTCTGGATTGTGAATGTGTTTGTGTATAAGTTATTAGTATTTACATCTTTATCCAGCCCGTCCTCTTAAGGTTTCCCAACGTCAAGAAACTGACGTACTAAAGTGCCCTTATCCTAACCTACCAGAGAACCCAAAACAGAAAACAGGACAGTACGTCAATTTCCCGAGCCGCTTACATTTTGTAGTACGACAATTTTTGGCTTGTGGAAAAGTATACGTCAAAATGCGACGGTCTCTTAGGAGGAGGATTGCTGGCATCCATAAAATTAATAGAAATTATTCCGTAATTGGAGTTATTGAGATGTTATAGGTGTTTGTGTCCTTGTAGGTGATGTCTGGGTCGTGCAGCGTCGGGTGGAGGGGCAAGGGACGGACGGGGGTGAGCATCGAGCTGCTGCAGCCTGATCTCTGGACCAGGTTCCACTCCCTCTCCACAGAGATGATTATTACAAAGAACGGCAGGTAAGTCTACCACCAAGTCTTAAACACACACACACTTCCTAATGCATTGGAATGCATTAGGAAGTGATGTGGTGGAGGCTGACTCCATACACAGTTTCAAATATAGATATGATAGAGCCCAATAGGCTCAGGAATCTGTACACCAGTTGATTGACAGTTGAGAGGCGGGACCAAAGAGCTAGAGCTAAACCCCCGCAAACACAACTAGGTGAGTACACACATACACACACTTGTGTGTGTGTATGTGTATACATTCACCTATTTTTGCTTGCAGGCAGGATCAAGCATTAGCTCTTGGACCCCGCGTTTATGTCTGCTGGTTGTCTAATGATATGACGCCTGATCCATTTCCCTATCATATCTATTTTTATAGTTATGAACGGAGTTTGCCTCTACAACCCGAGTTCATTCCTTTAGTTCATTCCATTTACCCATTACTCTTACCCTAAAAGAAAAAAAGTAATTACTGTTAAAAATTGGGTATGACTGGCCCCCACGCCTCCAACTACGAACAAACAGACAGACATTCTAAGTTCTATATAAAGATATAGCTATATTACCAAGATGAGCAGGCGAGGAGTCACAATAATGTGGATGAAATATGTTGACCAGACCACACACTAGAAAGTGAAGGGACGACGACGTTTCGGTCCGTCCTGTGTTCCATCTATTCCACTTCTAACCCCCTCCATGAGGTTACCCACCACAACTACCACCTGAGATGGTTTCGGGGCTTAGCATCCCCGCGGCCCGGTCCTCGACAAGGCATCCTCGTTGCTGGACTGGACAACCAGGCTGTTTGACGCAGCTGCTCGCAGCCTGACGTATGAGTCACAGCCTGGTTTATCAGGTATCATTTGGTGGTGCTTATCAAGTTCTCTCTTGAACACTGTGAGGGGATTGCCAGTTATGCCCCTTATGTGTAGTGGAAACGTGTTGAATAGTCTCGGGCCTCTGATGTTGATAGAATTCTCTCTCAGAGTACCTGTTGCACCTTTGCTTTTCAACAGGGGTATTTTGCACATCCTGCCATGCCTCCTTGTCTCATGTGGTGTTATTTTTGTGTGCATTTTTGGGACCAGCCCCTCTACTATTTTCCACGTGTAAATTATTATGTATCTCTCCCGCCTGCGCTCAAGAGAATACAGATTTAGGCATTTTAGTCAGTCTCAGTAGTTTAGATGTTTTACCGAGTGGCTTCTAGCAGTAAAGGATCTCTGCACGCTCTCCAGGTCAGCAATTTCTCCAGCTTTGAAAGGGGCTGTCATTGTGCAGCAGTACTCCACTTTAGAGAGCACTAGCGTCTTGAAAAGTATCATCATCGGGATAGCATCTCTAGTGTGAAAGGTTCTTGTTATCCAACTTGTCATTTTTCTTGCAGTTGTGACGGCTACTTTATTGTGTTCTTTAAAGGTAAGGTCTTCCGACATGAGTACACCCAGATCCTTTACATTGCCTTTTCGTTCTGTGTTATGATTTGACTGAGTTTTGTACGTGGTTTCCGTTTTTATATTTTCATTTTTTCCGTAGCGCATGAGCTGGAACTTATCTTCGTTAAACACCATATTATTTTATGTAGCCCATAGAAAGACCTGATCTACATCTGATCGGAGGTTTGCCGTGTCCTCTATGTTGTCTACTCTAAAAATCCTAGTGTCATCTGCAAAGGATGATACAGTACTATAGATTGTGGCCTTGTCTATGTCGATATGAGGGATGAGAAAAAGTACTGGAGCAAGCACAGTACCCTGAGGGACTGAGCTCTTCACGGTTGATGGATCGGATTTTATTTTGTTGATTATTACACATTGGGTTCTGTTAGTCAGAAAATTGTAGATCCATCTGCCTATTTTTCAAATAATTCCCTTTGAACGCATTTTGTGTGCAATAACACCATGGTCACATTTGTCGAAGGCTTTTGCGAAATCTGTGTAAATTACATCAGCATTTTGTTTGTCTTCACTGACATCTAAGGCCATGTCATAGTGGTCCAGCAACTGTGATAGGCAAGAGCGCCCTGTTCTGAAAACATGTTGTCCAGGGTTATGGAGATGCTGTGTCCATGTATTTTGTGATCTTACTTCTTGGCACTTTTTCAAAGAATTTTATGATCGGGTGATATTAGTGTTATCGGTCTGTAATTTTTTGCCTCTGCCTTATTTCCTCTTTTATGAAGTGGTGCTATCTCTGCTGTTTTTAGTATGTCAGGGATAACGCCAGTATCTATGCTCTGTCTCCAAAGAACTTCAAAATCCAGTGGGAGGGGATAGGGTGACATCTGATATATGGTTTGATGTTGGTATCACAACCATGACAAATTTAGCTACCACAGGGTGCCATAGAATATCCCTTACCTGGCCTCACCCCCCACCCTCCACCACCACATCTACTACCCCCACCCTCCACCACCCCTACAACTACCACAACTACCACCATCTACCACCCACAGGAGGATGTTCCCCGTGGTGAAGGTGAGACTCGGAGGCCTCCACCCGGAGAAGAACTACATGGTCTTCCTCGACATGGTGGCCGTCGACACTCGACGCTACCGCTACGTCTATCCCAGGTCAGCCTATCCCCATCCAGACTATCCGGGATTACTGTGGTGTCCACCCTCGGTCAGTCTAATCCTATCCAGACTACTGTGGGTAGTCTGGATAATCTTCATTTCTCCTCCTGGTCAAGTTCGTCCAGGTACAGCCTCTCGTATATAAAAATCTAAGAATAATCACGTGTATGATGATATGGGTGAGGGTGGATGAGCAGGCAATATTGACGGTGTGTCAAACAGTTCCAGGTGGATGGTGGCAGGGACTGGGGAGCCGCTGGGTGACCATCCACCCTACATCCACCCAGACTCGCCCGCCACGGGCGTCCACTGGATGGCTGCCCCGGCCGTCGCCTTCGACAGACTCAAGCTCACCAACAACAAAACGCGGGAAGTTAAGGGCCAGGTAAGGGGGTAGTCTGTGGTGGTAGCTAAGTGCCAGTTGCCAGAGCCCTCTCCCCCATTAGGGGGTGTTGCGGGTTGGTCTCTGTTATCGTGTTCTTTAAAGCGTTAAGATAAACGGTGGCCACACTGAGGGGGGGGGGCCACTGGCCACAGTGCAGGCTGGTTATCAGTGAGGCTCCACCCAGACGGGGTCACTATCTGCCAACTCCTGTTATCATCCTTTCCCACGCACCGTGCATCATCCCCCCCTCCCCCACCAACACTCCTGGACTGAACGTGAGTATTTCCTTTCCTTTCTCTGTCATTTGTTTCGGGTTATTCATGCCTGTGCCACCTCTTGGGTGGCTTAATCTTCATCAATCAATCAATCAACACTTGCTTGCAGTCTGTGGACCGTCTCCTCCCCCCCACCTTCCCGTATTCGGGAAAGATCATATATCTATATCCCTTATATCTCTCGATATCATATACGCAGTGATTATTTCACTTCTGCTTCTTGTATATTCTAGTGTGGTGATTTTGAGCTCTCTTAATCTGACCTTATCACAGTATTATCTCTGGTACTCGTCTCGTAGCTAATCTCAAGACATTAAATATCCTTTTTGTGCTCCCTAAGGCTGGGATGTCGAAGCTTGTTCTTCCCGTTTCATGACTGACCTGGCCAAAGGAGCCTATAATCCTCTGAATGATTATTGCTGAAGGTTTCTAAATACTTCCTCTATGCTTATTAATTTTGCGTAGTCTGCGGATGCTGTTATATTAACAGATACTTGTAGTTAAAGCTCGATAGAGGTCGTAAGCTGTACATACTTGCAGGCTATAGCTCTATAGAGCTCCGGCCTTACACACTTGGAGTCCAGGGTTCGAGACCAATACAGACTGGTGAAGATACTTGCTGGGTTAATGTTTATGTTACATCTGCTCCCAGACCCTTCTCGTCTTCCGACTCCTGTTACCATTTGGTATTATCATTTACGTAAAGAAAATGTAGCCAATGAGGGGGGGACGTTAGGATATAAGTTAGGTGATAAAGAGAGGTCAGTTCGGCAAGATGGATAATGCTAATACATGCATCCTTTCCCACTCAAGAAGCTGATTAAAGAACAACCCTTGCAGCAAAGTACAATGTCTTAATGTCTTATATCAATGCCTTAAGCCAAATTGATGCTCTACTCTCCCATTCCGAAATTATCTACACTGATGGCTCCTTGCGCCAGTTCTGCAATCCAGTTGTTATGACAGCGGGAGAGAGGGTCCTAGTCCTATGAGTGTGGGATGCATATAAATAACTGGGACCTCCACTCTTCACACAGAATTATTGGCCATAATCTTTGCACTCGAACGAGTATACGAGTCCAAAGTTGACACGTTAATTGTAAGTGACTCCTTGTCATCCTTGACTGCCCTCATCTCCACAAGGCATAACTATGACGTGCTTGTCTCACACCCACTTTGACTGGACGGTAGAGCGACGATCTAGCTTCATGCAGGTCGGCGTTCAATCCCCAACCAACAAGGTGGTTGGGAATCATTCCTTTCCTCCGTCCCATCCCAAATCCTTATCCTGACCCCTTCCTAGTGCTATAAAGTTGTAATGGCTTGGCCCGTTCCCCCTGACAATTAATTAAATTGTCTCTGAAGCTAGACACAGACATAATGAAATAATCAATGATGGAGTCAGAGTTTGTCTCCTGTAGATTCCTTCCCATATTGGTCTCTGAATGTATGATAAAACCAATGAGCTAACCAAATATTTGCTCGTAAAGAGGGAATCGATTACCATCTTGGGCTATCTTTGAGCAGCCTGAGGCCAGCAATACCCCGGGAAAAGCAACAAAATTTAATAGATTTGAGGTAAAGTGAAATTCACACCAGTTGTGAATTTCAGTTACTCCAGTTACTCCATCTGTCATCATTCTATTATGCAGGAAGAACCGCACGTCTATGCGGTTTCTAATAATTAATATATAATCTAAATAATAATTATAGATTATTGCTAATCTCCAATAAGGTTAGCAGACTTCTAGATGTTACCACTGTTAGGCTTAGACTCGGCTACAAGTACCTCTGGGAGTTTGTAACATCTGCTGATGTAGACTTGACTAAATTGTAAACTCTTCAGCTTAACTATCCACATACTTTGCATCATTATATAATTGAATGGAAAAAAAAATCGCGTAATTCAGAGATAACACCATGAATGATGTTCAAGAAATGTGCAAGTACTTTATTCATAATTATGTACAACCAGAAATCTTAGACAAGTATCGAAAACTTGGTGCGTGCACATGACTGTAAAGCTGCCGTCTAGTTGGTTGTGAGAACAGGATTAGTAACTGTGTAACTGACTCACTGCAGATCAGGATTAGACTGGATTAATCGGAGACTGGATTAACCAGTCTCCGTGGTGTAGTGGTAAGACACTCGCCTGCCGTTCCGCGAGCGCTTAGTCATGGGTTCGTATCCTGGCCGGGGAGGATTTACTGGGCGCAAATCCTTAACTGTAGCCTCTGTTTAACTCAACAGTAAAATGTGTACTTGGTTGTAAAAGCGATTCTTCGCGGCGGGGATCGTATTCCAGGGACCTGCCCGAAACGCTACGCGTACTAGTGGCTGTACAAGAATGTAACAACTCTTGTATATATCTAAAAAAAAATGTAAATTGCCTGGTATAGAGACTGTTGTGGGCCAATTCTTGAATCACTTGATATAAAAAGACGACTGATATATATATGTACATATGTGTAAATCACGAAGAAATTAACACGTGGCGATATAATAAGGAAAAATGTGGCAGAAAACTCAAGTACGTTCGTATTAATCAATACATCCTCAGAAGGATAACACTACAATGATGAAGATTAAGCCACCCAAGAGGTGGTACGGGCATGAATAGCCCGTAAAACATTACAATGTTGTTGTTTTAGATTTAGCTACTCAGAACGAAGTGTCCATGTAGCACAGGCGATGATGAGCCCGTAATAAAAACATTACGAGTGGTGGTGATATATAGGCAGGAGGAAAAACAATGAGGTGAGGAAAAAACAATGAGGTGAGCAGAAAAACAATGTCTTTGGTTCACAAAGGTAAGAGGAAACTGCACAAGGGCATTGACCATTACATGAGAGTTCCGGGAAGCAACAATACTAATGAGATAGATGTGTGTTAATGATCTTCCTCGAATAGCTTTTGAATTGATCAATTAAAATGGATCGAAATCACACAAACCATTGTTAACGTTCAGATTGTATGACTTTGCGATTTGCATTAAAGCAGATTCAATAATGTTTCTGTTAAAATTATTTTACAATTATTGAAGAAATCATTCTACCGCTCTATTGAGCATTCTACCACATAAGGTGACTGGAGTGGTTTTACAATGGTGTGCAAGTCGTGTATGTGAATAAACCAGCACCTGACAGCTGAGTGGACAGCGCTTCGGATTCGTAGTCCTGAGGTTCCGGGTTCGATCCCCGGTGGAGGCGGAGACAAATGGGCAAAATGTTTATTTCACCCTAATGCCTCTGTTACCTAGCAGTAAATAGGTACCTGGGAGTTAGACAGCTGCTACGGGCTGCTTCCTGGGAACGTGTAATAAAAAGGAGGCTTGGTCGAGGACTGGGCCGCAGGGACCCTAAGCCCCGAAATCGTCTCAAGATAACCTCAAGAGGAGCACTAAGGACCTCGACGCCCTCCCCCTCCCTAGGGGTCACACAGCAGGCGCCAGGGCTAGCCAACCAATGCCTCAACCAGCGACAATTACCTTTATCTGATATAGAGTTCAAGTACCTGTTCTGGCAGTCAAACAACGAGTAGCGCAAGGCCTCGCGCCTCCTCTCTACCAGGACGACAAACAGCTCAACCGTCCATCATTAGGACTGGCCTCCTGGTCAGAAGGTGTAGGGGCGTATCAGCACAGTGAAGACCTCGCTCCCCATGTGATTCACACTCTCAGGCCGCTGGTGGTGACCGCTCTACACCCGATAATTCTCATATCAAAACTCTCTCTTATCTGGTGTGTAAGATGCTTCTGTCTTTCTCACACACCAGCCTCCACCCTCACTGTTTCCCTCACACACTAGCCTCCACCCTCACTTTAAGGGCGCTGGTGACTGAATAGACAGCACGCTGAACATGTAATCCTGTGGACTGGGGTTCGATTCTTGGCGCCGGCGAAAAAAAATTGGGCAGAGTTTCTTTCACTCTGATGCCCCTGTTACCTAGTAGTAAATAGGTACCTGGGAATTAGACAGCTGCTATGGGCTTCTTGCTGAGGATGTATGTGTGTTAGAGTGAAATATATGTAGTAGACATAATAGAGGAAAAATAAAATTGCTTAGAAAGGCGGGGTCCAAGAGTTAATAGCTCGATTCTAGTAAATATACACTTAAAACGAAAAAGAGTACTGGGAAGACGGGACACCACGAGAGTAGCTCTTATCCTGTAACTACACTTAGGTAATTACACACACACACACACACACACACACACACACACACACACACACACACACACACACACACACACACACACACACACACACACACACACAGGCCATGGTGCGGGGTGTATTTGATGTGACTGAGAACACCCGCTCAAGTATTCACTATACTATCATATAAACAATTTGGAGTAATGTTATCTATTGTGCCGGTGAAGATATTGAGCATCTGCTTGACACGATAGCAAGAGCAATTATGATTATCCAGAACCTTTATCAAATCCTTGGTGAACATTTACAGTGTCAAAGCTTGTACTGCTTGTACTGCTAGGTGGCAACATGTGGGGTTATTGTGGTGGGGGGTTGGGGTTGTGGTGGGGGCTGGGGGGGGGTTGTGGTGGCGGCGGCTGCTGTGGGTTTTGCAGAGTTGAGGATACGAGTGAGAGTACTATTTTTCTATCAGTAATACTTTCCTATCTGTATTTTCCACTCACCTATCACTGACTACGGGGAAGTGAGGCGCTAGCTCCCCATGCCCAGCCCACCACCCATGTTGTCCCTATTGTCTTAAAACCTAACTATTCTGGCGTTCGAATTATTTGTCAAATCTGGCCTGAAAGTTGTGGATGGAGGTAGCTTCCACAACTTCTTTCAGGATATTCCACTTGTCAACCACCCGTACGGGGCCACGAATATCTTCTCTCATTCCTTAAACTACGCTTCTAGAGTCAACACATGTTCTCTTGTCCTGCTTTTTGCTCAACATAAAGAGGCTGAACCTGTCCAGCCTTGTCTATTCCCCCCTTAATAAGTAATGATTGCCAGCGCCTCTTATGCTGCCAATGTTATCCTATTCATGTGTACCTCCGGTGTTAGTGATGGAATTATATAAATTCCCGAATGTTTCTCTCTACGATTCCTTATTTTGTAGATACCTCCTGGAATTCTTTTTTTTACACCTTACACGTGTTGGGATTGAATTCTTGCAGCCATTTGTCTGCCCATTCTTAGCTTTCCTACAATTTGCTAGAGTCCGCCTCGGTTTTATTGTTCCTTATTTGTTGTACGTTATCTGCAAACTCTGAGATGAATGCACACACACACAGTGTGGGTGACAGTGGTGGTGGAGGAAGCATTGTGGGTTGTTGTTATTGTTATAGATTCAGCTACTCGGAACAAGTTCCAAGTAACACGGGCTATGGTGAGCCTGTAACTTACCTGGCACAGGAGCGGGGCAAGAAGCACGGGCTATGGTTAGCGGTGTCCTTCTGCAGTGAGCAATGTGGGAGACAATGGTGTTTTTATGGAGTGTATGAGGTGCGAAGCCCCCCCCCCCCCCACACACACACAACATCACCACGGCTCCCCACCACTATCAGCTCCCACAACCCATCCACTCGAAGAATAACCCTGACACCTATCTAGTCACCACAACCATTAGCACCGCACATTATCAGCCATGTATACCCATTACCCCATGCTATGTTTTCCTATATAACTGTGCCACACCCACCACTATGCCTCCCCCTCTCCCCCCAGGGGGTCGGGTAGGGGTTCGCCCCCTCATCAACATACATCAGCTGGAAAAGAGAACCCCTATTGTTTTGGCCACAATTTTCAGAAGAGCAGCATATAAGTACCAGCCCGTTGTGTTATCTGGGACCTCCCCAGTCATGTCAGACGACGCAGGATGAGAGACACCGCCGGTGAGGATGACAGATAAGGGGCAGATACTGCTGATAAAGGTAGATAGTGCGACTTTGGCCGCACATGCCGACAGTCCTCTAAATGGCCTCTTTTTTTTTAAATAATGATACTGTGAAATCTCGTTATTATAGGGTTGTTTTTGTTGTGAATAACACTTCCTTTTGTAGGACTCTTGAGGTGTGGGAGTCAGGTGTGGCAGTGGAGACCTGACCTGACCTAACTTAACGGAAGTCATGTGTGATTGTGGAGGTGTGGGAGTCAAGTAATTACCTAAGTGTAGTTACAGGATGAGAGCTATGCTCGTGGTGTCCCGTCTTCCAGTACTCTTTGTCGTATAACGCCTTGATACTACTGACGGTTTTAGCCTCCACCACCTTGTGTGTATGTGTATTTATTTACTATTTGTGTCTGCAGGATCGAGCTATTAGCTCTTGGACCTCTATCTAACCAATCTATTTTTCCTCTATTATATCTACTACATATATTTATCTCTAATACACACACACACATCCCCAGGAAGCAGCCCGTAACAGCTGTCTGACTCCCAGGTACCTATTTACTGCTAGGTGAACAGAGCATCAGGGTGAATGTCCACCAGCGCTCTGCGTGTGTGTGTGTGTGTGTAATCCCATCACCCCATTTCTGGGATCCGTTATTCCTTAAAAGTCGTGATAAAACTCCCCCCAAACAACACACAAGTCGTGTAAATAGATTCTGACGCATCTATTGTCCCGCAAACTCGAGCTATTAGCTCTTGGACCCCGCCTGACACCCCTGGTCGCATGCACTCCTCCACAGGCGCACCTTTTGCTCTTGCAGATAATCCTTCACTCGATGCAGAAGTACCGACCGCGGGTGTGGGTGCAGGAGGTGGGCGCGGGGGCGTGTTGGAGCGACCTGCCGCGCCTGGTAGACCTGAGACACGCCCACCACGCCGCCTTCCCTGAGACTACCTTCATCACTGTCACCGCCTACCAGAACCAGCAGGTGGGTGCTGCCTCGGGAGCTTTGGGCACGAGGTATTCACACATACCTGCAACGAGAGCGAGAGAGAGCGAGAGAGAGAGAGAGAGAGAGAGAGAGAGAGAGAGAGAGAGAGAGAGAGAGAGAGAGAGAGAGAGAGAGAGAGAGAGAGAGAGAGAGAGAGAGAGACAGAGAGAGAGAGAGACAGACAGACAGACAGACAGAGAAAGAGAGACAGATAAAGAGAGAGACAGAGAAAGAGAGAGAGAGACAGATAAAGAGAGAGACAGAGAAAGAGAGAGAGAGACAGATAAAGAGAGAGACAGAGAGACAGACAGAGAAAGAGAGAGAGAGACAGATAAAGAGAGAGACAGACAGAGAAAGAGAGAGAGAAACAGAGAAAGAGAGAGAGAGACAGACAGAGAAAGAGAGAGAGAAACAGAGAGAGAGAGAGAGAGAGAGAGAGGAAGACAGGGAGAGAAGAAAAAGAGAGAAGAAAAAGAGAGAAAGATTTACTAATATATATTTAATTAACCATTAACTCAAACTTTGCAATGTATATCTCACAGATAACAAGATTAAAAATAGACAGCAATCCTTTCGCCAAAGGTTTCCGGGACACTTCGAAGCAAAAGTGAGTATTGGCGTCCATTTGATCTCATGTTGTATATAAGACTGGCCAGTATATAAGGATGTTTAGACTCCTGTATACACTAACATTTACAGTTTAGTGGTGTGTGGGGAAAAATGTGCCTCTGGGTACGCTTGTAATGTTTGTGCTTGTAAGATGTTTACATGAGGCTTCCCGGGTTCACCTAGTTGAGAACAACTAGGTAAACAGGGAGTTTTTCCTCTCAAATTCAAATAAGGTTTATCGAGGTATTAATACACACAAAGGGATGAGGTAACTCAAGCTATTCTCACCCCCGTTCAGTACAACGTGTTCATATATATATATATATATATATATATATATATATATATATATATATATATATATATATATATATATATATATATATTCATATATGACATCACAAACATTAAGTATTTTACCAAACATTCTGGATGATATACATATACATTTCTTCCTTTACACATGTAGTATGTTACCAGACGTACACACAAATACGTTTATGACTAGGACAACGTTCCCTCTTTGTGTTGTGTCATCCACTACGTCTTGCTGATATGAAGTCAAAGACTGTAGGCTACACATCATGTGTGAAGTTTGTCTAATTGTGTATTGAACGTGTTATTAAGGTTGTCATAGACTTTGCTTGTGTACATGAGGTTGTGTTGTCAGCAAAAATACGGTTTTAGACGCTTTTCAAGTTCTTTTTAAGGGTCTATAAACATCATTTATATCCAGAAGAGTACCTCGGGTCCACGAGCAGACCCGAGGTACGATAATGTTACAGATCAGAGTGGTTGGGATCACAGTATTGACGGATACGAAATGTCTTTTGTCCTCCAAGTATCTCTCTCCCACCAGTTGCTGTGTTTGCTGCCTAATGTCTGGAGCTCGTGTAGTGGCACTGCGCGACAGGCACAGTCAGATGATCTGCTCACATAAAGAAAGGCAGTTACCAAACACCAGCCACAAACACTAGCCACCCCAGCCAATACACTGACAATCCTACATACCACATACCCAAAATACCCACATCTATGCCAACCCATGGTGGACAGGCCACCGAACTTTCAAACCTCCTCTCTCTCTACACACATCCTCTTCCAGAATTTCACCTCCCCATCCCTCCTCACCCATCCTTTCCAAACCCTTTGGACATCCAACTTCAAGTTCAGTTGTGGTAGGTTTGCTGAGATCTAAAACCACTCAAAATTTCCTCAAAGAATTTCATTTACCACTATTTCTTTGTTCCTTCTTTTTCGAAAGTCATGCGACATTTGCTTGTGCGTGTTTAATTGATCAACAAAGCTATCATTGGCTACTTTCTCTAATATTTTACTAACAGATTGAAGAACAGGTACCAATCGATAAACTATGACTTTGCATTTTTATACAAAGTATTGATTTTTGCAACAATCATGGCCTAGAAATCTGACATTGATATATTGTAGAGAAAAGCTAATACACAGTTAAACCTGTTAATATTAACCTTGTTAATTGTTAAAAGAAACCAGGATAACCATTCTTCAGACTTGAAAGTAGCGCAATTTAGTATTTAACAACCATATTACTTCGTTGTAATCAAAACAATTACATCAATCATTCATTAATAAATAGCTAACTACTTTTGTAGTCGAGGGATTATATTGGCTTGTTTTTGTAATGTTACCTGACCCCTGTGGCAGCTTGTCCTGCCACGGGACAAACTGCCGCCCGGCTTGTTAAGTTGACGCATTCATCAATCAACACTTCACCAATCACACACATTCATCAATCAACACTTCACCAATCACACACATTCATCAATCAACACTTCACCAATCACACACACATTCATCAATCAACACTTCCCCAATCACAACAGCATACACCATCACAGACACCTTGATAAACTAGCATCCATTCGTCACCCTCGACAGTAACATGCAATTTCTTCAAGACTCACCAAAGCTCCGATTACCACTCCAATTTTGACTGTTTTCGTTATCTGTGATACCTGCTATCATGCAAGACTAACGGTATGCTTCGGACAGACGAGGAGCTGGCGCCTCCTCGGAGATAACATACCATCTGTCACTGCGATAACGTGTCACAGACAAGCCACACTGACAGCTTGAAGGAGTTAGAAAATCCTTGAAGCACTCTCATGGTGAGGTGACGAGTGCAGGCTGCCACTCACTGACAGTTTCAAGAAGGTCGCTAAAAAGATGTTTATCCCGGGGATAAGAGACGCGGACACAGTAGCAACTGTGGGTCACTGATACATTCTCGTAGACACATGGCCGAGCTTCCGCACTATGGGGAAGCTATGGCCGCACTTTGAAGTCCTCCTTACTGTGACTCATTTATTCTGTTACTAAGATATTGGCTTATCCATTATAGACCTTCCCTATCGCTCCTGCCTGCCTCTCAAACTTGCGCACTAGTCTCTTGTTGGTGTATTGAAGGCTTTCTCCACAATTAAAAAATGTTCAGTCTACCCTCCCTTCTCTTGCGTGATTTATATTGCCTAGTCATACCTGTTTACCAGAGTTTAACAGAGCCACTAACACTAGTGACCTCGACGAGGACAGGAAGCCGGCGGCTTATATCATAATAAGTGACTAGCTTAGGGCTACTCTTAGTATTCATGGCGAGATTGTTTCAAGCTGCACAGCCTTAGCCATCGTGTCCAGCTCTAGCAGGTGCCTCCTTACTGAATTTCTTGTAGTCACAGTCCTTCAGTTCTACTTTGTTTGACACCCTTCAGGTCAGGGGTGTCAAAAACTTCCCTTGCTTTATTGTAAAGCTTCTCTAGCTTTATTGTAAAGCTTCCCTAGCTTTATTGTAAAGCTTCTCTAGCTTTATTGTAAAGCTTCTCCAGCTTTATTGTAAAGCTTCCCCCAGCTTTATTGTAAAGCTTCTCCCAGCTTTATTGTAATGCTTCTCCCAGCTTTATTGTAAAGCTTCTCTAGCTTTATTGTAAAGCTTCTCTAGCTTTATTGTAAAGCTAGGGAAATTGAGAGGCGGGACCAAAAAGTCAAAGTTCAACCCCCGCAAGCATAACTAGTTGAGTACAAACATCTCTGCCATTGTATAATGACTTCTTCATTATTCTCAGTTTCACTTAAAATATAATACAATACAATGTTTATTCAAAAGAACGTGTGTACAAAGGACATAGGAGTAATGTACAAGTTGTAGGAACAGGAGTTACACAATCTATGAAGCCACTATTACGCAAAGCGTTCCAGGCGAATACATAAACAAAAAAAATACAAAAGGTGTGAGGGGGGTGTTAAGACTATACTAAAGAAGAAATAAGTTAAAGTTAGAACGTTCATGGAAAATAGTAAATGAATGCAAAAAATGTGACACTTGGATTACAGGCAACACTATCACAACATGGAGTCAGCAGTTGTGGCAGTAACTCTAGTAGCAATGGAGTACAGTACTTTATTTACATTAATAATGGAATGGAAATGCGGCTGTAGTTTAGAATTCTCCTTATTCTCATTTACTATTTTCCTGCTAATGCGGCTGTGAAACAGCTCAAGTTGGGTCTCTGCTTTATCTGTTATGTTGTTTTTCAAGTTCTCTCTCTGCTCCTCTTCTCACTTAGGTACTCATTCCAGCTCTTTTCATACCTCTGTATTGTTACTTTATTGTTTTGCCTTACAATCGTGGTTAAACCATTGATTAATCTATACCCTTCATTATTCTCTTTCGACAAGGCTACCTGTCCTCTGGACATACTTGTCCCTGCCTCCTGCCTTATGGGTGAGGAGTCTCTCAGGTCCTGTGTTGTTTTATCTCGGATTTTTCTTTCCCATGGTATTCCTAAGAGGAATTTCATATCCCAGCAGTTTACCCTTCGGTATACCAGCCTATTACCTCCTGGTCCTATCTTTGAACAGGTAATTCCTAGTGGCTTTACTATTAATGGCTATGTCTAAGATACTTTTTATCTCTATCTAAGATACTCTAGATACTATTCTTTAGATACTAGCTCTATCTAGAAATCCAACACTAACTCATTTTGTATTTATGTACTTTTACCTGAATAAATATTATTATTATTATTTGAACCAGGAACTGAAATGTCAGTACACAGTAATCGCTCATTCTCGGAGGACTTTGCAACTTAAGGAAGTCATGCATGACTCCTGAAGGTGAATACCAGGTTAAGTCTGCTGGGTAGTCAGTACCTTTCCTTCTCCAGGGTTTACATTGCTGTTTACATTAGTTTATCTTTCCACGTATCAGTGGTCCCATGTAGTACTTTATTCTCCTAGCTTATCGTGTCGTGGTTGAACTCTTATACAATTATCAGTTATGTGAATTACAGTATGAAACGGGGAGGCCAGGGAGTATCAGTATCCTGGCCGAGGAGGATTGATTGGGCGCCAATCCTTATCTGTAGCCTCTGATCACACAGTAGTGAATGGGTACCTGGTTGTTAAACAATTTCGCTGGTCGTATTTCGGGGAAAAATTAAGATTAAAGACCTGCCCGAAACACTGTGTGTGCTAGTGGCTTTACAAGAAGGTAAGAACCCATATTATATATACAGTATAACAAAAAAAATGAGAGCTATGCTTGTGGTGTTCCATCTCCTTGTAATCTTTGCCATACAACACTTTCAAACAGCAGACGGTTTTGGCATCCACTACTTGTGTATGTGTGTGTGTTGGTTTGTACATGTGTGCGCGTGTAGTGAACCCATATCAGAGATGGAACCAGACACGTATTTGGGGGTTTCCACACAGCCTCTAGGCACTAAACCTAGGAACCTCCAGGCACCTAACTCGGAAACCTCCAGGCTCACAGCCAGGGAACCCCAAACAACCCCTGGAACCACCGGCCTCGCAACCCCTCACAGTAGATATCATCAGTGACCTTTGGGAAAACAAGCTAACCATAGGGAAGATAACCCCCTGGCCCATTTATAGTGAAATATAAAGCTTTGACACTCGATATGCGAGTGGAATAAAAATTAATTGTGAAGCTTAAACAAATAATAGCAAAGCAATTGCCTCCTACCATAACAGGTTTACCAGGAAATGCCAGCACCACTTACCTAAAACTGTGAAGCAGGTGATGGAGTGAGAGGTGTGTGTGTGCACAACACCAGGCAAGCGAGTGAGGTGGCGGGGTGGCCAATTGATTGTTGCCGCCGAGTTTACTTTGTTTACCTTGGGCTCACTTATTTTGCTGTACTTATCCTTTTTAATTGGTTTCACTCAGGTTTGGGTTGATCTCTGATTCCCAAGCTTCCCTCGCCTTGTTGTGAGTCAGATTTTGGTCACAAAGGCCTGTTGTAATTGGCTAAGGATTGGCATTACAAGCACTTAAGTTCAGAGAGGTATTGAAGAGGGGCCTTCTCAGAAAATACAATCTTCATATTTATCTTTAATAATAATGATTTTCACTTATTGCAGCCAAAAATTTAAGTGTTCACACACATTGAATTTCATGAACTATGGGAGAGGATACACTGTTTAATTGTTGCCATCAGCTATAGCTAGTTTATTATGCACTCCATACTCATCATCGTGTACTTACCTAGTTGTGCTTGGGGGGGGGGGTTTGAGCTTCAGCTCTTTGGTCCCGCTTCGGTTCCTTGTACTACTGCTCACAAGATAAAAGGTGTTACAATAGGAATTAATTAGACCCCTGTGGGTAATTGATATAAAATTTCATTAATATACATACTGTATACCAACCATTGTCATGCTTGGTATAATTATTATTAATGTGAAGGATTAACAAAAACATTTTTATTTTGCATGGTTTCCCTATAAAGAAAATTTAACCTCGTTCTTAGCCGTCAAATTGTGGCAATCATCAGAATTGTCACCCTTAATTATAAAACTTGCTTAGTAATGGATTTTAAAGTTCATTTCACACACTCATTATATGCCTCTTTTATTATGATATGCCAACTTTTCCCACTACTGCTTACAGGATGGTATGAGGTGTATAATACATAAACCAACAACTAACTAACAAATAAACTAACAACCTAACAATACACAAAACTTTTACCTGTTTTTATTGTGAAATGGTAGATCTATATTCAAAAGGTTTGAACAATATAGAACACATCATATATCTACCTTGGGCAGTGGTGACCATTCCTCTTGGCATTCATCAGTGTGTGATGAGAGCCACGACCAAAGAAAAGTTTATTTTTTCAAAAGAAATACAGTCTATGTAAAAACAAGGAATTTGTATGCAAAAGAAAAATAAATACGAAAATAAATTTAGAGATATGATCTTTATGTGGGGTAGGAGAGGACAGGAGTTAAGGGGGAGACAGTTGAAGATAGGGAAGACGGGAAGAAGGAGGAGGAAGGAGGGAGGGGAGATTGGAAGAAGGGGAGTGGGAGAGAAAGGGGAGATGGGAGGGACGGGGAGGGGGAAGGGGGGAGAAGAGAGACCAGGGCATAAATGGGTACCTTTAGTAACCAATAAATAATAAAACATTTGGTAACTAGTTCCCAGACACACAGACATGACAGGGGGCTGCTTCTCTAACTAAAAACATTATGGTTTTACTTGTTTCAGAGAGCTGGAGAGGCAGCCTGGCCGACTTGGCAGGTGCCATGATTCAGTATCCGTGAAGCCTTCTACTCTGATGCTGCCCCTAGGAGTGACGCCACCCCATCACCTCCACTACACCACTTCTTTAGCAGGCTTTTCTCCTCCGTTCTCCCTAGCTGGGCCGGTCTCTCCTCCAGTATCACCACTCTTCCTTCCTTCACAGTGGTTGTCAGGGGTCCTGGAGGGCAGTGACCACCAACAGCCGTGGATGCAGGCCTCATTACCACTTCTGCGATCTGCTCCCCCTGCCCTTCCGTTCCTTATACCTCCCTTCCTGCCTGGCATTCACACACACCTCCCACATGCACTTGACCTCTCCAAACGCAAGGATGATACCTGACCCTGGGCTTCCAAACCATGTTGAATTTGGTCGTTGTCCTTATCATATCTTCTGTAAATAATGTCTTCCAAAGTTTGTTAAATTTTCATCTTAATGAATAAAGTTTTTGATATACTATCAAGATGTTCAATACACCTAACCCAGTATAGTGTGATGCTTGTAGATCTCTGCATACAGTAGACTAGGCTGTTTTGGTTAAGAATTCTCCTAACTTAAATAGTTCTAGACAGGCAGGGTCAAGTCATAATGGAATAGAACATTGTGCCAATCAACACAAATAATTAAATATTTTCCAAATTATAATAATTCTTTAATATTATGCGGCTGACTTGTATTTTTATTTTCAAGCACGTGTTCCTTGTTTCCTCTAATTAAAAAGAACCTAGTGCGTCCACAATTCTTGCTACATCACATCACCGACGGTCTTTTGAATGGTACTCCACATCATTTCTAATGGAGGCCTCCTTCCTGCGTATTTGGGTATGCTTAGTTTTTCGTTCACTATCCAAAATTTGTGTATTTCCCCTTGGGTGTGATAAAGCTCCTTTCCTGAATTCAACTCATGTAATTCAAGGTCCTGCAAGCATATTTATTATGGCCAAATTTACTACAAATAGGGCAACAGCTCATGGGGTTCCTGCAAGCTAAGTACAGTATCGTGGCCAAACCTCCAGCTTATATAATAATGTATACAAGTTGGAAGTAGTTTGGCCATGTACTGTACTTAGCATGCAGGAACCTCATGACCTCTTGCCTAATATTGTATATACAGTATGTTAAATATTGTATATAAATTGAATAATAAATACAGTATTGTAATATTGAACTTGTGTAATACTGGGGAGGGAAGGGAACTGAGAACTTGAAAGTCAAGAGATGTAATAAATGTGCCAGGTATAAATGGCTAGATCCAACTTCCCCCAGAGTCACTGATATGAAAGCTTATCCAAATCACAGTACATAGTGCAATTTAGTTTATCAATTTTTATTTCCCACATACAAAATACAGTATATGAAAAAAAAATTTGTGGGATACATACAGTACAAATTTTTAGGCACATAGGTGTGTGGAACAAACTTTTTGCACAATTTGAGTGTGAGTGCATCCACAGACGACAGAGTACAGTTACATCTGACATGTAATATAGACAATGTAGGACTGAAAACAGAAGATGCTTTTTCACCCACAGGGTTGTAAACTCGTGGAACCACCTACCTGCCGAAGCCATAAATGCCAAAACTCTGCTGGGTTTTAAAATACAGCTGGAAAAGATCATCAGGGCAAATAGGGGAACCTTTGACAAGCTGGCAGCTTCCTGTCCTCGTCGAGGCCACTTTGTATTAGTGGCCTTCAGGTAAATTCAGATATAGCTATCCAAGATTACTTTAAACCTGAACAGATAAGATGTGAAAGTTGAGCTGGGCAAGAATACCAACTGCTCACAATAGCCATAAACAAGATAAAATGCTTAGACCAACAACCAGACATAGGTCATTTGTTACCTCAACCTGGTGGTGCTGCGAGAGCAGAGTAAACAGTTCATCAAAATAATTTATTTTGATAGGACTAGTATATAGGAGGAAGATCAGTTTGGGACTGATATAGGAAAAGTTTGTAATACGAGGGAGAAAAAAGGTTTCCTGACAACACTGCCTTAACATTTAATTTAATAAATATAAAACGAAAATGTATACCCATGGTAATGGATAATTGTTTTTAACAGGTGTCATAGGCAAATTTGTACACAGTATTGTCTCTTGCCAATGATACCCAGGTAACGTAACCCAATCTAATCTTAAACACTGCTAATATGAATACCTTAAGCAATAAAGTCCTCCTAAACACCAACTGCCAAATGAAAAGGACAATTTGGAGCTCAAAGTGATGTGCAGGAAATTATTTGCATGCACATAAAACTGACATGTGTGAAAATACATTCACCTCGCAGGGATCCTTGCTAGAAATGGCCACACCAGATCTTAGACAAGAAACATCATCTTAGCTCACCTCACAAAAATGTGAGTCAATAGTGTATGCAAATAATTACAACAAACTGTACTTACTGTTGAATTGGCTCATACATCCACACTCATACACACATTTCCTATCAATATCTTGACGACTGGAGCCCACACCGTCGCTCCTACTTAATCGATGCACGGGAGTTGAACAGATCAGAGCCGATCTGTTCCGATCACAGGATACGTCAGTGAAGCTCCTCCACTTGTGTTTTGCCCGTTTTCCTCTACCCCTGACAGGAGTGGTGGCTGGGAGCAATGCAAGTACACCAACATCTCAGGTGGGACTGGGGCTGGGCTGTAGTGCTTCCTAATAATACTGAACAATTCTCTGGAACCCTGAGAACCAGATGATCGACACATACTAAAAGAAGGGGATTTGTCCAAATCACATTCATTCTTCTGGGTAACGTCAAATTGTTACATTTTTATGACACTTTATTTACAATATCTAATCTATAAGATTACATTATAAAATTCCAAGGTTATAAAATTTCTAACCAATATTTAAAATATTGTACTGGTATATAGCTAATCAAATAATCTCAAGCAACACTCTGAGAGGATATTACATAAAAATGTTTAGTTGCTGGCAAATAAATTATTGAAAGAGACCCATCATTGTACTCGAAAACTGCCCTTTTGAAAACGAGAAGCCATATATAATTCAAAATTTAAAATCTTGTTCTTTCCAGATTGGTGAACTATACAGTTCATGTACAGTATAGTATATGAAGAATATGTAAAAGTCATGAAAATTGGTTCATAAATTACAAAACTCAATTTTATGGACATACAATTATACTTTTGAGTAAAATGCAATCAATGATTGCACCACCAGTAGGCAAGATAGATATTGCTTGATTTTCTTCCAACTTCATATGATTATGGTTGGGCTACATCTACATATAGCAGGCTACATCCCAAACCATAAGTTAGTTTCAGATAAATCACGTCAAACAACGGAGAAACACTGTAAATTATAAAACAAAAATTCCCCAAAAAAACACACATATGGGTGCAGTTATTTGTACAAAATTAAATATGAACAGATCATTAACATTTGTAACATACGGCATCACTGCTAGAGTGCGGTGGTGTCTGTTCATCTGTGATGATGATGAATGTTGTATTTACAGTGATATAATGAATGGACAAGTGATATTTTAATGTTTTATTATTTTAAAGCAGTAACATTAAATTTTTTACTTTAAATATTTTACTTACTTTTATTTTTTTACTCATTTTACTCACCTTTTTTCTTTGGACTAATGCCTCCCAATGAATGTGAGAAATTGGGTTAGGGTATCATATGATAATGTGTAATTGGGTTTAAATAAAATATGCATGTTTCCTTATAAAAGTTTAATTTCATGATTACCGAATTCAACACATTGTATGAATTCCGAGCATACAGGCTTTGTAAAACAAATAACAACAAATATTTACATATTAAATAACTGCACTATACATTCAAAAATAATTTAGTTACATTGTAACTGTAACATCAAACTTTTACAAAATTCAAAACACATCTATGTTTATCTTGCAGGTCTCGCCTACAACTACCATACACTGAATGGAGGGCAACGCAGTAATGAGAAGGTAAGCGGCGTTGGTGAAGCATGTAATGGTGAAACATTACTCTCTCTCTCTCTCTACATTACTGAAGATTCAAGAATAATGATATATTTTTACCTTAAACTAGGATGATCTATTTACACTTTATACACTTTAAATAAAAGGATCAGAAATTATATTCTTAACCCAACATATTACAAAACATGAAAAGAAACATCCCCCTCGCTACGAAGATCAACGTTGTGTAGCAGATAAACTTTGTTAGGTGGAATACTTAATGTATCACAAAAAGCTGCCATTAATGTAGAACAATTCTCATAAAAGCATAATAACCATAATTTGTATTTATGTTATGTTGTAGTTGTTTTTATTTATATAAAAAACAATTGGAGAAGTACAGAATACAGAAGAGCAATGTTAGAAATTAAATAATGTAATATTTGACAGGAAGAGATCAACTAAACAAAAGAGGAACTTACATATGAACCCAGCACTCACTTCATAAACCTGCTACTACACCCACCTACATCCAACATTAACCTCAAAAGAAAAAAAATACAACAAAGTTGCACTTAAAATGTAAGTTTCACCAAAGTTCTTAAATACATATAAGATATAAATTGAGAAATAAAATCATTTTGTATGGTTAAAATGTTTTACATGGTGTGAATGTATGTGGGAGTATTATGGAGCCCTAGGAATTAATAACTTTCAAGGCAAGGGAGGATTTGTGAGTCTGGTTTGGAGAATCCGCACTTGCTTGTACACCTTGAGAGCAGGACCTAGCTTCAGGTTGAGACCCATCAACACGTCAGACCGTGTCAGCATGAGCAAGGCTGTCCCATCAATGTCCTGAATAACCAAAAGTTGAGTACATTAATAAGGATACTTCATTACACAGGTTTGAATGTTCAGAATATAGAACTCTAATAAACAAAGTTCCATATCTACTTTCAATAGCATCAAACATAGCTGCTCATATCTTGTTTACTTTCACATCAAAACTAGAGTGTGTAAAGGTATTATGAGATCAAGTGTAACAATATATAGAGAGCCGGGAGCTGGGCCCAGGCCACCTGGTGGTGGTAAATCGGTCAAAAAATTTTGGGCTCGTTTGAGTAAATCCCTTGTTCAGTGTGATTTGTTTGCAGTAGTTACTTGGCAGTATTTTGTGCCATGTAACTACTGCACAAAATACTTGTATTTTGTGCAGTAATTACATGTAATAGTAATATGTTACTTTTATTTTTTAATTTTCTGTGAACCATCCAGTTAGTCTGTGAAAGTTGTACCTAAAGATATCTCAAGATATATTAATTGTTACATTTTCTTTGTCATTTTACTTTAAATGCTAAACCAAACATGGTGTATTCAACTAACCTGTTCTTTGAAGACTTCCGAGACCATTTTGAAGCCTTTGTTATCAAAGTACTCCATGATCTGTTCCACTGTCCAGTGTGTAACATTTGGAATTTCTGGGTCATAAATATTGTTGTCCCACGAGCCACTAGAGCCACGGCTTTCATCGTCAGGTACAGGAGAGTCACGGGGCGTCGGCAGGCCAGGTAAACAGTCATATGCTGCAAAGGATAATTGTGTAAATAATTCTCCTATTCTTCTGATGCAATCATAATTTATAATTTTGTCAACACTAAAAGGCTTTTAATAGTGGGACCATCTCAGACATGCATACACCCAACTAATCAATTCTGTTCTACAAAATCATCCCCCATAATGCCCAACTCCGTTGAATTATAACTGATTCTGTAATAAGTGTTAGTCAATAGTCTTGCCTGCATGCTTGGATATACTCTTTCAAAGCCCAGGTGTATCATCCATCTTACAAAGCCCAGCCCTATCTTCTAAAAAAGCCCAGCATGAAAGTATGATTTTGAGCACACAAACATGCAAAACATTAAAAAGATTCTAAACTTTGAAAGCATTACAAGTATTAATTGAATTCTATTGTACTCGCATTTCCTAACTCAAAACATAAATGCAACCTGAAGTATTTAATACTTCACAAGACTAATGTATACAAAATGTCTAGAAATGCTTGCAAATGGTGTTTAAGCCGACACTTACGACTCTGTGAGGACTGAGGAGAGCACGCATAGCATATCCAGGACCCCTGGGGCTGTTCATTCAGTGGTGGCTGGTGGCAGGTCAAGTGGTAGGCTCGGTCACATTCATCACAGAATATTAGGGTTCCCTGTAATATTCAGGTGCTAATTGTTATTCATGTTCTAGTACTATATATACAGATAATAAGTCACAATAACATAGCTGATAATTAGATGTCCAACCCACAACTGTAAAAATAAAGGGAGTGACGACAGTCCTGTCCGTTCTGGACACTATTGTCATCACACAACTTGATAATGCTCCAGTTTGAAACTTTGCCAATTCCTTTACTTTCAGACTTCTTATTATTTCCTATTATAATTATAATATATATAACAAATATATAGCAAATAAATCTGGTATAGGTAATGCAATGTAATATTCTATGTACTTAAAAATAGCTTTACTTTTGATCTTTATACTGCTATAGATAATGGAATCAAAAGATATTGCATATAAGGAACAGAAAACAGTAAAGTTTAACATGTTCCAGGGCACTGCTGAAACCAAGAAAAATAACTTAATTTATTCAAAAGTGGAAGTTTTCCACAAATACACACATACCTGTCAAACAAGTCAAACTATTTTAATAATAAAATTACTTTTAATATAAATGAAAAATGATAAATCATAATTCCTTACTATATTGTGATCCATGTTGCAGATGGCACAATGTTTGCAATCCATACAAGTCCATGGCGCCAGGCGACTGCGCACGGCTAACTCGGTGCTGTATCCCAGGCAGCTTGGGTGAGCTGAGACAAAATGAATGCACAAATGTATGAAATGGTGCAAATTATAATGCGAGTACAACAAAATATTGTACTACTGAACTTGCATCAGATTTGTATGCATGTGTGTTAACATTTTGGTAAACTTACAAGTGATGTTATGATTACTATCTCTGCTTTATAAAGTCAAAATGTTGGTACCATTTCTGGCTAAGTTAGGCCGTCGTGTGACTTACCTCTTGCTGAGCACCGGTGGCACACCAGCAGGTCCTCTTGCACACTGTGCTGATTGACAGTCTGGAAGCACACATCACACCGATAAACAGTTCTCTTGCGTCCAACTACTGCAAGTCCCCCCTCACTTGGATCAAACACTTTCTTGGCTCTCTGTCAAGGAAGCAAAGGTATTATTAACACAATGCTAATAATAAGAGTATTTTGTCTGGAATCACACCATCCGGCTCACTACCACCTTTGATGATGGAACATTGTTGAGATTAGTATACACAATTGGGGCATGGATCTGTTCAAGGGATGTGTTCCTGGAAAACCTCATGCAAAGTGAATTCACAGAACAAATATAACTTGTATGAGAAAAATTGTTTTTTATTCTTGAGACCTCCAACAAAACATTTAACTGAACATTATGACTAAGTACAGTACAGAATTTCCTCCATTTTCAGTTCACAAATACAGTACATAATAATGTGCAGAATACTAGGTAGGTGACTAGTGCAAAAAAGTAATGCAAATTAGAGCATAAAACAAATTAGATGCGACAAGTCATAAGGCTTGCACATGGTACCTGGGAACTGAATAAAAATAAAGTCTCGGATATATGAATCTTGCACACCAACTTATGTAGGAATAAACTCACCCTCATGCAAGTAGAACTTAGCATTAAAATCGAAATCGTGCAAGTCTAAATTCACATCATTCAAACAAATGCATCGATGACCTAATGTACATAACTAAAAAATTGTTTACAGCTGAGTGAGAGCAGTATCCTTTGGACCCCTGTAAGCAACATGTCTTAAATACAAACAATAATAGGGTGTGGCCACTGATTTTGAGTTTTCTGTGACACGGACTGTAACATAAAACCTCCAGCACCTACATCATTACATCAAACTAAATTGTAAAATTGTCTACAGTAATAATACAAATATACTATGTACTGTAGTATATTTGAAGCAATACTTCAAATATACTACAGTAATATGTTTAAATAGGAAAGATTTTAAAAAGTTGGAATAAAAATGTGGTTATCCTAGGATGTGCAGTGGATGCACAGCCTTTAAACTGTAGAATATAGAGGCTAGACACCTAGAAGGGTACCATATGAACAGAAGACTACTGTGGCCAATGATGGAAGCCATGTGAGCTCGTGCACCCGTGTTTGATGAAGCAAAGCCAAGTATGTATAGTAACTAAATCAATTTTAAATCCCACCAAAACATACCAAAACATTATGCTGCACTGCACACTAATACCATATCCTAATGCTACATGGGTCCCAAGAAACGTGCTAGCAAACAACAGGAAAGGCTAATGACAGTCCTTGGCCATAAGGGAAGCTGCATCTTGAAGTATTCTTAAACACTGAAACCACCACCAAAGAATACAGACTAACCAAGCTACCGTTTATAGTAACATTAAGTCTTAAATGCCCAGTGGTCCCCACAATATAAGGTCAAAGCTGAAGGTATGCAATGTGGATTTTGGACCTGTTAGTACCAAGTGCTGTAAGTTATTAAAGGAATGTTGTGCAATAATGTTCAAAGGAAAATGTCTTATAATCTATCATAATATAGAATACATGTTTGTACCGATGAAATTTCTTTACAAAATGGGTATTATAATAACCTGGTTGAACACTGGCACTCGGTTGATTGAGCACTTTACGAATAAATTTTACCATTCAAAGATGCTACAATATATATATACTGTTTATACTTACCATCTAAAGATGCTTCAATATAGACTGTACATACTGTACAGTACTTGGATTAATACCAAAGTACAGTATTACATCTACAGATTACATTGTTTAGTCACTTTATAGATAAATGTATTTTTTCTATTAGTCATTTTTTTTTTATTAATTGTATTTTTATATCCAATTTGAACACAAAAATCTTTCTAAGATAGCCAAAGTCCAATTTATTTTTTGCCTGCAACATATTCTTATTACTGTGACATTTACAGAAAATGTTCTCGTTATGGCTTATTAAAGAAAATGTTCACCACAGAAACATTGCCAACTATAAAACCTGAGTTTCATATATTATACAATTATAAGTTGAGAATATAGGACAAAGGTTCACTTGCCAGTTGACCACAAGACTTATTAATCTTAATTAAAAAAAATGCACTATGTATACTCAGTTCCTTAATGAACTAACGCACCTGAGGACAGGCTAAGCACCTACAAAGATGCACTCAATAAAGTACAGTAGTATGTATGTTCCTCAAGATGCATACCTAAAAAGAAACAGCTAAGAGGTGTTCAGATGTTTAAAGGTGTTTAAATACATCAATACTGTACTGCTGAAAATACTTTGAATAATACTGTACAAACTTAGAAATTTTACGGGAATATTTTTCTTTATTCTAATTATTCCTTTTACCTGGCTTACCTTAGGTATAGATTTGTTTAGAATACTGAGTATAAATTAAGAATTTGAATAGAATTGGGGATGAGGTATAAGCTGGAGAGATAGGATAAGACCCTACATGGCCACCCTAGTGGTGATGGTGAGATGAGTGGTGGTGGAGGATGACAAAATAGTGGTAGTAAAGGAGAATATATAGTTGTGTGCTTCATATTTTCTAGTAATGGCTTCACAAACTGTATAGACTGTCTTGCAAGAGTCCTTATTTAATACTGTCAATATTATTTACATACGTATGGTCAAGCAGTAGGTTTTGCTTGAACCTGCACTGGTTCAAGTGGTAGCTGCCACTCTTCCATCTGACAAGAACATTCCCTAGATTTCATACATAATTCCAGGTAGAGTAATGGAGGTTCACATACTGTACAACTGTATCAAGTTTTGTAAAAAACCTAAGATATGAACAGAAACAGGATACTGTACTAAAATCGACACTACTGTATATGCAATATCCACGAAATTAGTCTAAAAGTGTCTAGATTAGGTCAAGTGTCAAGAGTCTGGACACCCTGGTGACTGTATCTAGACTGGAAAGAAATACAATATCACCCCATTGTTAAAGGAATATCTCCATTGTAACCATTGTACTGTAACATTGTTGTCTGTATTATACTTCCCTTCATATCATAATACTAGGCAATACCATAGCAACATTTCTGGTTCTAGGATGTTTAGTTCAGTGAGTGCCTAGACAAAAGTGCCACATGGACCTTGTCTTGAGAATCAGTGAATGTTAAGATCTGATATTACTGGAATTACTAGCAGTTGTCAGTACTATTGAATCACATTTTCATATTTGGTGATTTCTTGGTCTCCTTCATGGGCTGTGTCTGGAGCCCATGAATCCAGCCCCTATGTTTGATGGCTTGTTCCTTGGGAACCACTGACTTAAGATTTGATATTGATATACAAGGCAGTGTGAGGTGTTTGGTATCTGTAGGTGGCATTTTTAATGGGTTTGGGAACACTATTTGGATTTGATGTCTAGATAATAGAAGTGGACTGATTTTGGTTGCAGTCATTCGACAAAATATTAATCGTATTACCCATATTTGCACCTTTCTAGGTGTATACCCATGTCATCCTACAGCTTAATAACTGTAAATCTGCATGAAAATAAAAAGAGAAATAAATAAAATATAATCTCTAAAATTTTACCATCAAAACAGAACTGATTTTCATAAAAATCATGCACTGGATTATGAAAAAATAATGTTTTAACATTTATTTTAACAAGTTAGTACTAGATACCTTTCATGTTTCAATATGTTTCTGGAGGGCATTTGAAGTGTTTGGCATACATACATACATACATACATACATATTATATATATATATATATATATATATATATATATATATATATATATATATATATATATATATATATATATATATATATATATATATATATATATATATATATATATATATATCTTTATTAGATATTTAAAGGTTACAAGATGTACATTAGTTAATACAATGAGTGTTTAAAGGTTTTGGATCTCTTGAAGCTCCTTTGCTTCCAGACAGGAACCAAGGACACAGCAGGCGTTACCCCTCTGGATCGCCACACTGAGGTGCTGAAACAAGAAACTGATAACCCTTGGGTCTCTGGTGATGGCAATGAGCCTGGAACCCAATTCCTTGAAAAATCCAAAGGCACTCCTACCCCAGGGGTCATAAGTCTCAGACTTTATGGGAACAAAGGTGTATTGACCTTCCAGTCACCTATATTTGATTCATTTTGCTATTTCTCTGGGGTTGGCCGCCCCTCTTGCTTGATCAGTACCGAAGTGTGTGTAGGTGTCAGTGAGGGTGGATACATACGTGTAGTCCCACACCAGCTGTTTGGTACTTTTCCAGGGGTATATTGCAATGCCATCTGGGAGAAGTGCAGGGTAATCCGGATTTTATTCCCCTAGGATGCGAGGTTCTCCCTGCTGGGCACCGAGCAGAGACAAGGCTCCTCTTGATGATGTCATTAACCTTGTTGTGCCTTGCATGCCAGCCCTTGGAGCTTCCGCAGTGCAACCCATGCAGTCCATATTGGTCTGCTTTCACCCAGTTACAAATACACTTGTATTCACACTGAATACAAGTGTATTTATCAAGGCAGAGGGCCACTGCTACTCGAAGGGATTCCAGATCTAGACGCGTACTTGTTGCCGAGATGGGTACTGCCAGAAGGAAGTCTCCTGCATGGGGGGGCACACACACACACACACACACACACACACACACACACACACACACACACACACACACACACACACACACACACACACACACACACACACACACACTGCTTTGAGACGGGCTTTCTCCTTATCTGATGCTGCGGTGCTGAACATGGCATCAGATAATTTTTCCTCTAGTGGGTGGTCCCAGCTGGACTGCTTTTTTGTAGGATCTATGATGGGTGTTGAGGGTGTAAGAGCATCCTACTGATTTGAACATTCAGTAAAAGCAGGATCGTGTATTCCTGCTGAATCATTCAAGGGTTCTGGTAGGATATCTCTTACAAGGTCACAATAAGTATCCGCCAAACCAGTCTTGATACACAATACACTACAATGTACGACATTTACTGTATTCAGCGTTAGTAGTTCACTTTACATTGTCAGTATAAAGATAAACTCTTAGGCTCGGCTAACTTCATTGTGTTTAACTAATAAACACCAATTGTCTCTGTATAATTAAATTTTATGATTTCTCTTCCTTTTCTCTGAACCTTAGTGGTTTACTAACATTAAGACTGCTGTAGCTAAGTGGCCAAAGTGTTACATCTATATAAACATTTCACATTACTGCACCTGTACTCACTGTCTGTACGAATTCATTGATTTAGCTTGTCTATCCATGATAAGACTGTCAAAACAGGACGTACTAAATCCTACAGAATTACCGTAACTACAATAATTTTTCTCTTACATCTATGTTAATTCACATGAAACCTATATAATCCTTATATTAATTTAGCAATGTGGTACTACCACATAAGCATAAACGAATCTCAATGTTGCAAACAAACTGGATTGAAGTTACTATTATGCTACACTATTTAACGTCAATAACAGTCATATATCTTTACTCAAGCTCCAGTATTTTTAGATTAAAGTAAATATCTTCAAGCATTCAAGATATTTAAATATTTATTTTTTTATATTCTGTGTTGGAAGACAGAATAAAACGATAATCAGGAATATCTAATCACATTAAAACAACAATTACCATTGGGTTACACTGCTATTAACAGAAATTATATCAATCTTATCATCATTGGTGTTTTAAAGTTCATAAAATGAAGTGGATATTAAACAAAATAGCAGCTTTCGACCATAGCTGATCAAGAAAAGTATCACTAGAATACATCTCGGGATAGAGTGGTATAATGATTACGGAGAATATATATAATGGGTATTATAAACTGTACACTGTAATGAGTTCAGTGAGAAAAAGATGGAACTTTTGGAACTGTGTGATATCTGTTTTTAGATATAAATAATTAATGGTGTATACTAAGTATTTGAGAGTAATACATAGCACGATACTGTATATTAAATGGGTGTGAGCTTGTATGTGGAGGTGGTGGGCGTTGTGGTGGAGTGGTGTGTTGTGGGGGAGGTGGGATGGTAGAGTTATGTAGTGTGGGGGAAGTGATGTGGTAGGGGTGGTGGAGTGATGTGGTGGCAGGACGGAGGTTATGGTAGGGCTCTGCTTATTGTTTTCTGCAGAGGGGAGTGGAAGAGAGGCTGGGATTAAAGCCACCAATGTTTCAAAAGCTCTTTATAAAGATATCAAACAATACTTGCCATTGGGTAACATCATCCAATAACAAAAGAAAGCTTATTATTATGATTATTAATAATGGCTTGATTTCAAATTCAGTACAATACAGGACAATGAGTTTCTTAAGATATTGCATGAAAACTAAAAACAACAACAAGTAGTTGCCATGGGGTTAAATTACTCAAATTCAATAGTAGCAAAATTTGTATTGCTCAGACCTAAACATTTTGAAGTTTCAAATCAATACGGTGATGAGGTCAAGATAATGAATGGAAACCTAACTGAAGACAAATTAAGCACAAGACCATTAGGAATCCCCTACCAGATACCCCAAAAATAGTTCTCATTGTGTTAAACTTATCGATAACGAAAAGAATGTTAGTTTTATGATCACAGATAAGTGTTGTGGGTCTCTAGTTAGTACAATAAGGGATATTGAATGGAAACGTTGAGAAAGAAAAAAATTGAAATGAATCATGACGAAATCACAACGTATCCCCCAACCATTGATACCTACTCACAACGCTTAATCATACCCGCTATCAATGACAATCAAATACGTAAACTAACAATACACCATTAAAACGAGAGTTGCCATATTTTATACAAGGGAGCAGGAAAATCCCTTAATTGACTCGTTTGTTGTAAACTTTACTCTTACTGTATAATACGGTAATGTATTATACAATTCTTCAAATATAAATAATATAACATTTAGTCAAATCCAAAGTAAAATAGAATAATTAAATTACAGCGTCATTATACCTGTATATGGCAAGGTGGCCCCAGATCTGCCCACGGCAAGGCAGTAGCCAGTACTTGATTCCCGCAATCTGGAAAATTCACATCTTGCACCTGGTGACCACCCTGAAGAAGCAAACATAATCTGAGAAATCGTTTCTTACACTGTAGCTATCGATTTGTAAGACTATTATGAACTTATAGGGACCCAGCGATATTAATTGAAGGTGAAATGTTTAAAGGTTTAGCCTATCTTATTTCTTAACCAAAAATCATATGATGGCAACTGAAAACTTTCGAGGTCTGGTTCAACTCATGGAAACAATGAAGTGTAAGTGATTTCTAAATATTAAGCAGATACTGTATTGTGAAATGTTTAGATTTCTACTTGCAGAACTTGTTATATTGCATGGGGGACAGACCAGAAATATTAGTGTTGGGAAGTTTGACTGCTTGTTTTTCTTGACATTTAAATTGCAACTAATGTCTGGTTTAGCAGTCACCATAAGCCTATTCACAGAAAATAAAAATGTAATAAAATAGTAGACCTATATGCACACGATAAACAAATCACATAGTACAGTGCTCAATGGCCTTTGTGTTTTGGCTAGGTTAAGTTTAGGCTAATGGTCAACATCACAAAATGCTTTTAATCAAATTAGATGTAAGTCTTCACTTCCAACCATTTAAAATAAATTTTCTATATGCAAAAGTAAGGAAAATACCAAAATCTTGTACTGTCTCTACCTTCCTGCTGCTCATAGTGTTGGAAATTGGTCACCATTCTGTATATAGTATCAACATCAATATCATAATTTTAATTGACTGGGAGCTGATGGCCACACGAGGTTGACTCCAATGAAGGTGGATAGTTTGGTAACCTAACACATGCATATCTTACAAAGTAACTATAGGGGTACTAGAGCAATGATTGGTGTCCTAATGGCAACTAGGCAAATTAATTTCTGAGTAACTTGTGGTGCAGAATAATTTAAAACAAGACATGATATTGACCATAGTCCCTAAACTTATATGCCAATGTCATGATGATATCTATTGTTAAAGTGTTCAATGCAAGCCTTTGCAATTCAATTCACATTGCAATCAAAGTCACTGCAATTAAGCCTTTGCCATGTAATTTACTTGTTCTATTGCAAGTGCTGTAGTCTACACTTCTGTGACTGGTCGGACCATATACACAATTAACAAACAATACAAACTGTTTATGTGATTTACTGTTGACTAGCCACGCTACTCGTAGATTTACACCTTCATTCCAGGCCAGGTCACCTACATTACCCCATACAGTATCAGGTAAGTCACCTACTGACTCTTGAACGTAGTTAGCAAAAATATAATTTATGCACTTTATGAATCTAACATCAACCATTTAACTAATCTACTTATTGATAGATCTCTTCTACGCAATGCACAATTTGATAGCGTTTCACACTTATTCGTGGGATATACTGATTTGTTTATGTTCTGTAGGAATTTATTGTTTGATAAAAACAAGGCTATATGCTGAGAACAAGAGATCTTAGCTACAAGTAACTGAATACTGTACTACGTTATATAAAGGAAGACTGGTAACGCTACCCTATGATTTCAGTTTCTAATTTGATTAGGCTGGGTTTGGGAAAGGAGTCGATGTTAAAATATATTTTAAATCTAATTTAGTATCCGACTTGATTGAAAGTAGGAACACTTTTTAGGACCACAAGATCCAACTACTGTATAGGTACAGTACAGTACAGTACTACTTGTATCTAATGACGAAATTTTTTGGAAAGAGCGTGCTCTATAACTAGGGAAAATTTTGATTGTCGGAAGTTCATATAAAAATGTAGTGTAGTTCAACTGTTTGAAACTGATTGACAAGGGTATCCCCATATCCTATTCAAACATATTTTACAAAATAAATAATACATATTATTAAATACTTGCATTCTAAAATACATGTGCAAAGAATAATTAAAATATAAAAAACTTTTAAACAGGAGACCTACAAGGCTGAAAATGTACCGTATGTTACAATACAAATTCTCCTTCCCGTTCACCACACCCTCCCTCCATCATTTTATTAAATAACCCATCATTAAATGTAATGAAACTGCATGCTCCAGAAAGGAGGAGAGCATGAAAGGGAAGGTGAAAGGGACCAAGCCAAATTTAATGAATGGGCCAACATGGCTTGTCAACATGCAAGGTGATCCAACTGGAATTGGAATTGACAGGGTGGACAAAGACAAACTATTTAGCACGGATGGAACATGAACAAGGGGACACAGGTGGAACCTTAGTACCCAAACGAGCCACAGAGACATTAATTTTTTTTTTCAGTGTCACAAGAAATTAATAAATAAAATGCATCAGGCAGTGATGTGGCAAAGGCAGACTCCATACACAGTTTCAAATGTAGATTTGAGAGCCCAATAGGCTCCAGAATCGGTACACCAGTTGATTGACAGTTTAGAGGTGGGACCAAAGAGCCAAAGCTCAACCCCTGCAAGCACAACTAGGTGAGTAAGTAAAATGCTGCCACCACCTCCTGAAGGAGTGGGGTGAGCATCTTGGGCAAGGTCGCCAAGGCAAGAGCCGCAGACTTCAGAGCCTCCACTCCCAGGCAGTGCCTAGTGATGCCACATCCTCATGCAGCTGCCCAGAGAACCCCTCCATAACGACCCAAATCCACATTATTGTCATTAAGTGCAAACATGCCTTGTGGTCATAGACAATATGAGCCCAGTCAATATAGGCAGTTTCTTGCCTATATTCCTAGGGAGTGCCAGAGCAAACAAGCAGACTGGAGCAAAAGAAGCACTACCCAAGAAGACCTGAAAGATGGAACACACCTTTCCCCGATCAAGGTCCAACAGAACCCTTGCCAAGCCCTCAAGGAAGAGGGAGGTATGTCATCCAGTCAAGATGAATCTGGAACCTCACACTGCAACCAATAAGCCGAGACAGACCTGTACTCAAAAGAGGCTGGATCCATCAACGGAAGTGGCCTGAATTCTGCAGCAGGTACCGAAACAAATTCGCACATTCCAACAAGGGAAAAATATGGAAAGATGGATACTTCCGGAAATATGATGATACCAAAGAAATGAATGGGACCTGGAACCCAACCCAAGAGCAGCCAAACGATTCAACATATACATAGGAGGCCAACTCATTCTCCTGTTTAGATATCCAACCAATTATAATGCCATGAATGCTTAACCCTAGCAAATCTAGCTCTCAAAAAACCAACTGCCTGCAAAGCTTCTACATTGGAAGATGAATAAGTCAATGCAGGAACCCAGAGGGAACAAACTGCACAGAACCCCGGGTCATAGGTGTCCCCGACCCAACATGTATCATGGCGGAGGCAAAACAAATGACCATCTTCTAGTAGCCAAGACAATGAGCACCCTTTAAACTCACACATGGTAAGTTTGAGCTTGTTGGGCTGAACCAACCATACCAAAGACCTGTGGGAGGGATTGTCAGGGCCTGAAGGCAATTAACCAAGCAGGACAACTTGTGATTGAAGCTGCTCGCCAGAAGACACGCCATGTGCAGTCAAAATAAGTTGGCTATGACTGGCATCTGAGGCATGTCATTTTAAACAAACACGCAAGCCCCCAGCAAAGGGGCCAAACAGAGGAGTCAAAGACGCATGAATAATGAGTCATAAGCAACATTCTCCACTCCGGTGGCGTAACCTCTCAGGGGTAAACTTCCAAACACACCAGACAAGATAAGTGTCAGTGCAGGGGCAATGATAGCAGGTACCCTGGGAAGATTTGAACACATGTAGCCTGGAGCACAACAAGCCAGGTAGAAAACACACATGTCATGTAAAAACTTAAAAATATAGAACAAACTACAAAGCATATGGTCCTTCAAGTAACAAATCCAAGGATGGCTGGCATTTAGCGTAAAGCAGAGGAGTTTACCACGTCTAAAAGAGCTGGAACATTGTCCATAGGACATCAGCGGAAGAACCGATAGTGGCATTCAATACTTGAGTTTTGTGCTAATTTTGAATGCTTCTCTTGTTTTGCATGAATCATTTGCAGAGTTATTTGGAGATTTTGAGGTCCTGGTCATTGATAACCCACCAAAAGTCTGTAAAGCTTTGCTGACTTTCTAGATGCGTTCCTGGTTTGGTGGTGCATTGTCATTTGTGAGAGAGGCCAGGTTTTGGCTCTGGTACCCAGAAGGACAAATTGAACTCCCACATCTGATGTGACCCAGTTGCATGGGGCAATCTCGGTGAGTTAGCTTCAGGGAGACACCGGGGTCTCCCTCCAGAAAAATAGTAGTTGCCGTTGCCCATTTCTGGCCACTTGCCACTGTCCAGCCATTAATGCATAAAATAACCTGAACTGCTTGCACTGTTGGATTGAATGAAATCACAAACTGACCAGAGCTCTTCAAATATATCAGTACTCCAATAACAAGCTGAAGTATGAACATTTAATAGGAAATTTAGATTACAAAGTAAGAAAAAGCAATAAAAGAAAACTGAAAGATCTTAAATTCCAAAAATGGAATCATGTCAGTACAAGAAACAACAGAGAAAATGAAAAAATGGTGGACACCGCCCTGCAAACTTATAGTGCAATCCATGAGCCAACATGCTGTGTTCACTTTCCATGGAAGTTGTCTCTCCACTGGAATTGAGTTATTGTATATGCCATAAAATGGCTAATAAAAATCTTACAACTATACATTCAAACTGATACTATTAGGAACATTTCCTGGCATCACAGTATATATGTATAGAAAGTTGGGTGCAGTAATACTTATTCCTTGTCACTGTATTATTTTAAGTCATACCCTTCCCCCCTAAAGTTTAAACTGGTTATACATTTTCTGACAGTCAATACAAAGAAGAATTTTCCAAAGATTGCATGGAAACCAGTAGGGATACCAGATTACAAGACTGCACTGACAACAATGTCAGACTGGCTCTCTCCATCATCATATCAGGGATGCCAGTGCTGCTAAGATGCACACATGTGCTTTTACATGTCTAGGCTACACCATATAAGTTACCGAAACACACTGAACATTCAATAATTTTTTGCATATACTGTATTATATAAGCATGACAACACTGAGCAACTTTTACCATTCTACTGGCCTACATTTCCATGAAATAAAATGACTGATATAAGCTGGTTTAAATGATAAACATGGATTTTAAATTCTATTATGAAACATTTAATTGCAAAGAAGTTGGCACAGATGGGAAACTGGCAAGGATAAAGTGGTGATAGGTCATCACAAGGCAATGCTAGCAGTGATCATAACTTCACATCCCACCAAAGAGCGAAGCTTTCTTATACTCCACCACCACCTCTTACCATTAGCACAATAACCAAAAATGATCAACAATAATGTCTACCCAACACTAGCTGCCTATCTGCCCCATAACCTGACATCACAATACTTTTAACCAGACACCACAACAAGATCTATCTTGAGGTTATCTTGAGATTATTTCGGGGCTTAGTGTCCCCGCGGCCAGGTCCTTGACCAGGCCTCCACCCCCCAGGAAGCAGCCCGTGACAGCTGACTAACTCCCAGGTACCAATTTACTGCTAGGTAACAGAGGCATCAGGGTGAAAGAAACTCTGCCCATTGTTTCTCACCGGTGCCTGGGATTGAACCTGGGACCACAGGATCACGCGTCCAGTGTTCTGTCCACTCAGCCGAAGGCTCATGTCAATACCCAAATAATACCCAATACAACACCCAAATAATAATACCAAATAATACAATACCCAAGATACCCAAAGCTGGCAGCCACAATGCTTAAATGCAATATATATCCAGATTGTTTAAATTTATTGTTTGGGAGCAATAATTTTTAAGTTTTGCATTTTAAAAGATAGGTTTCCTCCCCCCCCCAACAAAAATACTGTACAGCATTTATGTGGATATTAGAAAGGTGTAAAACTTGACAAGTGTAGATAACTGGGTATAAGGAAGAACAGTGCAAGGTGCTATGCATCACTGTTGGTGACAGGGGGTCGAGACATTTCTGGGAGAACAACACAGCATCTTGATGGTCAAAAGATCAGCATCATCATCATCCCGGAGAAACGTCACCATAACAAGGCATTATTTTGATGTGTGAAACTTCTAGTTTTGGATGCCCCCAACCTCAGTCTACTGAACTATGATTACCTAAATTAAATATTATCACCACTACTCCCATCACTACACCCACCACCGCCAACCTTCACCAATACTCCCACCACCACCAACCTTCACCAATACTCCCACCACCACCACCAACCTTCACCAATACTTCCACCACCACCACTACTCCCACCACCACCACCACCACCAACCTTCACCACTACTCCCACCACCACCACCAACCTTCACCACTACTCCCACCACCACCACCAACCTTCACCACTACTTCCACCACCACCACCAACCTTCACCAATACTTCCACCACCACCACCAACCTTCACCACTACTTCCACCACCACCACCAACCTTCACCAATACTTCCACCACCACCACCAACCTTCACCACTACTCCCACCACCACCACCAACCTTCACCACTACTCCCACCACCACCACCACCACTATTCACCACTACTCCCACCACCACCACCAACCTTCACCATCATCATCAATCTGCATCACAATCACCACCAGTACTACCTCTACTAAATCGCACCATATTCCCTCCCCTAGTTACACAATTTTCACCATCAAGGTGGTAAGCAGTGAAATTAACGGTGAATCAAGTAATGGCTGGACCATTACCTCAAGGTTCCAGATAAATGTGTGTATAGTATAGTGACAGGTACGGTGGAGGTACAGTGACGAAGGTAAGGTGGCAGTATAGTGACAGGAAGTATGGCGACGGTCGAAGTACGGTGATGGTGGAGGTAGAATGACGGTAGAGGTGACAGCGGAAGCGGAGACGGGGACGGTGGAGGCGTGATGACGGTGCGGGTACGGTGGAGGCGTGATGACGGTGCGGGGACGGTGGAGGCGTGATGACGGTGCGGGTACGGTGGAGGCGTGATGACGGTGCGGGGACGGTGGAGGCGTGATGACGGTGCGGGGACGGTGGAGGCGTGATGACGGTGCGGGGACGGTGGAGGCGTGATGACGGTGCGGGGACGGTGGAGGCATGATGACGGTGCGGGTACGGTGGAGGCGTGATGACGGTGCGGGTACGGTGGAGGCGTGATGACGGTGCGGGGACGGTGGAGGCGTGATGACGGTGCGGGTACGGTGGAGGCATGATGACGGTGCGGGTACGGTGGAGGCGTGATGACGGTGTGGGTACGGCCTCCTGTCTGTTACACCCCCCCCCCAGGAAGCAGCCCGTAGCAGCTGTCAAACTCCCAGATACCTATTTACTGCTAGGTGAACAGGAGCATAAAGATGAAATAAACTGCCCATTTGTTCCCGCCTCCACCGGGGATCGAACCCGAAACCTCAGGACTACGAATCCGAAACGCTGTTCACTCAGCTGTCAGGCCCCAGGCCCAGGTATAGTGACGTTGGAGACACGGTAACGGTGAAGGTACGGTGGAGGGGTAGTGATTGTACAGTAAAGGTAGAGATACGGTGACGGAGACACGGTAACGATGGAAGTATGGTGACAATGCGTGCAGGACGTGATTGAGATGAACAAGTGGATGAAACATAATGGATATTAATAAGGAAATAAATTCATGAACATAAGCAGCTTATGTTCTTGCTTCTACTGTCTCTGTGTTGGCTCGGGGTCTTGAAGTTGTTAGAATGTAATTATATGTTAACTGGTTGTTGATTGTTGGTCTTGACTTTTTGATGTGTAAAACCTCGCTGATGTCGAGTCTTCTGTTGTCGTTATACCTGCCGATTATTTCAGTGTTGCTTGTTAAGATGTCTCTGGTGATGGTCTGGTTGTGTGAGGAGATTATATGCTCCTTGATGGAGCCCTGTTGCTTGTGCATTGTTAATCGTCTAGAGAGAGAGATACGTTGTTGTCTTGCCTATATACTGTGATCTTTGGGGCTGACAGTCCCCCAAGTGGGCATGTGAAGGCATAGAAGACGTTGGTCTCTTTTAAGGCGTTCTGTTTGGTGCCTGGAGAGTTCTTCATGAGTAGGTTGCCGGTCTTCTTGTTTTTGTAGTATTATAATATATATATATATATATATATATATATATATATATATATATATATATATATATATATATATATATATATATATATATATATAAATCTACAGCCTCAAGGAAACAAACTTCCCCTTATGTTCTCTTAATGCTCATTTTTTGTAAACAATCATATATGTAACTGTATAACCTTGTATAATAAAGTGTACAACATAAAAAAGAGGGTGGTAGGAGAAGTGAACACTCATACATATTCAAGAGTTAAATGGCAAGTTTTTATCTGAATGCTCTATGTTCTCTTCTTTGAGGCTGTGTGTCCCTACAATTGCACCAGAGGTGGTACCCCCTTTATACATAAATGAATAAATAGGAAATATGACTTGTTAAAGTCACCCATAACTAGCGGTGTGCAAAGTATAACTGTCCAAAAGATATCACCATAGAAAACGGTTTCCTTCGCCCCTCCGGGGGTCGACTTTGGTACAGAACCCCGCCACTACTCCAGGTACTCTACAGCAGAAACCTTGTACCACTACAGCAGAGCCCTAGTGCCACTACAGCAGAGCCCTAGTGCCACTACAGAACCCTTGTGCCACTACAGCAGAGCCCTAGTGCCACTACTAGGTCCACTACAGCAGAACCCTAGCGCCTTACAGCAGAGCCCTAGCTGTGTAGATACAGCAGATACACTTAACAGCTTGTTTACTACTAGCATGGCATATTTGTACTGCAATGGTTGCAACAGGTTACCAATGATCTTATAAACACCTCCAAAGGATACCTGATCAGCCGAGACAGATTGGGCCAATTACCGGGCCAATTAACGACAGATTGCGAGGGGTGGCGTTTAACAGCAAGGTTGACAAGGCCAGGTCAGAGACCGGGCCGCAGGCACACTGATCCTCGGAAACACCTTAAGATGATTTTTGGGCTGCTTTTAAAATGAAAACCACCCCAGGAAACTATTTCTTTAAAAAACAATTGTCCCTTTGCATATAAATTTTGAAGTCAACTAAACTAATGTCGGTCTCTGATGTTTTGATATCTAATAACAATTGTATTATATAAAAATAAGTCCCTTATTAACAACAATTATATTAATAACGTAACATTAATAATAGTCCTATGAAAGGAAAATAAATTAAGGTAATAAGATTTTGTTTTAAGGAATACTGTGCAAACTTTCACATAATTCTAATTCATAATTCATTCATTGTGTCGAGGGACAGGCAGCCAGTGTATATATACAGGTTAGGCTTATATCAACGACCTCTCCCCCAAGGTCGAATTACTGACCCCCCCCCTTCTCTCCCCAGCAGGATGCAACCCTACAAGCTGACTAACTCCTACTTACTGCTAGGTGAACAGGAGCATAAGGTGATATAAAATGCTCCCAAACATTAGTCCCGTCTGGGATTCGAACCCAGAATTCTAGATTGCGAGTCGAAAACGATCTCGACTGTACTAACGGGACCCTTAAATAACTGTCCTTATGTTAAGCCTTAAGTAATATTTATTATCTACAACTTTACTACAAAGATTCCGTATACTGTATCTCCTACCATCATCACAGCCTGAAACACAAAACAAAAAGTGCCACTATAAAATCAGTTTTCATTATGCTACAAAAACGTTGTAAATTATATGAACACTGTACGTTAATTGCAAAATAATAGTAATAATACTAAAAAAGATTTGTATGGCAAGTATTATAAGCAAACATATATATATATATAATGTGAAAGAGCGATCAGTAGCAAAGTAAGACATTGATATGACTATTCAAATGTTTTACCTAACATTATGATAGGCTACATATTGCAAAATATAGACCTTAAAACCTAAGAACACTTCACACGAATACAGAATACTGTGTTACTGTATATACTTATTATTCACACTGAATACGGCTGTGAGATTCCTAGTTTCGTTAATATTGAATATATACGTTCTTAACTATGAGAACACAGCCCATTTGTCGTACGCTAACGAGTCCTATATATATCTAGCGAGTCCTATGCAAATCCTGGACTGTAATGCCGGCGAGTCCTATTCATGTCCTGGAACTGAAATGCTAAGCGTATAAATAAATTATAAAAAATGATGTTAGACGACCTTAAATTCTCCATATGAAGATGGGGAGGGCTTCTCAATATAATATACAGGTATGTGAATAATTTATATTATTCTTATTTAACATATTTTTATTTAACATTTTGAATTATTTTAATTTATACGAATCAATAGTTTAATGGATAACGTCAGCCACCAGTGCGTTACTCTAGCATTATGTATCTAACTAGGTTACATGATAACACTAGCGTCAACACAGCCAGTGATGGCGTAGCGCTGATAGTGCAACCCGTCCTCCCAATATCGAGCGTCGCATTTTGACGTATACTCTACCTAAGGCCAAAAGTTATCGTACTAGAAAATGGCAGCGGTTCGCGAAATTGACTTTTAAGGGCACTTTAGTACGTGAATTTCACGACGTTGGGAAACCTCAGGAGGACGGGCTGGATAGTGAATGCCTTGAAATACACGAATATAACACGTCCAATTTTCCCACTTCGATCCAGTACCTAAATTTATCATATCACACAATGAATACTGTAGCCTGTAAAAACTTGCACAACCTGTTGAGGTATGTAATGAAATTTAGTACCTAGTCGTTTATCAATTTAATTTATTTAGCTAAACGAATACTTAAGGTATAATGGATTCAGAAAGTAGACCCGTCTCTGCCACTACTACCCACAACTCCACAGTACTGTATTAAGATGGCTATTGTACACATTATACATTAAAGCATATTGCATACTGACAATTAAAAAACTGCAGCGCTTATCATATAAACATGGTACCAGGCTAAATGGCTACACTGTCCGCACAGTCTATCCTCTAAGAGTAGTCATGTTACTTAAATGATATACTAAATTGCCCAAACCCTAACCTAACCGTGGACCCATAAGTTGCAAACCCTAACAGCCAGTAAATTTTGAGAGCCGCTGTGATTTATAGTACACAGTATCTTGACGTTAGGCATTTTTACGTCAATATGTATATTGAGGAACGAGCTTCCGAAAAATTAACCTATCATGCCAGTACCCAACACATCGGAGTTTATAACTGACATTACTAGTACTGTAAGAATTCACCTTACATGTAATTCCCACTGTCGGGGACAGGAAGCCTTAAGTTAGGCTGGTCGAGGTCCCACCTAGGGCTAACTACTGACCTCTCCGGGATGCAACCCCCAACAAATTATCTAAATTGTCTAACTCTTGGGTACCTATTTTACTGCTAGGTGAACAGGGGGCATCAGACTTAAGTTTTTTCAGGGATGTTCTTATGCGGGCCTTAAGCCTTTGGCTGCCCCACTTGGCGAAAGTAAATGTGTCCAACCGTTTCTGCCCTGCCTGTGAATTGAACCCAGGTCCCTTAGTTGTAAGCCGAGGACACAGACCAGTGCTATGGGACAATACCTGTCATTCCACAGCTGATTATTACTCAACATTGTATAAAAGCTGCACTGTGCAACAATTCAGTGAGATTATCAGTGTTGCAGCAGTCTCTAGTCTGACCTAGAAGAGCCAGCCACACTTGACTTTGGGCACGTGAACAGGCTGTGAGTGTGTTGCTCCCACCACACCCTCCCCACCACAGTCACCACCTACCACCTCCACTATTGTATCGCCAAAAATATTGATCTAATCATTACATTTCATTACCTCGCCTAATAGTGTAGTCAGATATGATGCCTTCCATATTATATACACAAAATTAAACACGAACCTAATCAATCAAGAATATGACAGAAAACTTAAGTAATTTTAAATTTCCTCCTCGACGAAGTATGTGAAGTATACCGCCAAGAAGCACATGTACTTTCTCCAAACGATTCACCAGATGGACGTCGCATTCATAAGTACATCACATTAACAACCAATAATATATAAATATTTATAATATTTGTGCCGTGTCTGCCATCTCTTAGTATTCACACTCATACGTCTTACGTGCGACCGGCTAACGCACATTTTAAAGTATTCGGCGTTTGGGCGCATGCGCGAGCTTAGCCTTAATTCAGGTTGTCAACTTTCTCAAGCGCACTAAAACACTGCCATCTGGGGATGTGCATCTGAGAAATGGGACGCAACACTAGCAAAATTGATTCTAGTCTCTAAGGTATACAAGATATCTATAGTAATTCTTTATACATAGGAAGTGCGAGATGTACTGTACTAATGTTTGTACCTAAACATGTTCATATTCAAACGAGTTTTGACAAGCCTCATATATAATTCGCAGTAAGCTTACGGCTATGCAGTAAGCTTACGGCTATGCCGTAAGGCTTACGGGCTATTCATGCCCGTGCCACCTCTTGGGTGGCTTAATCTTTATCAATCTACGGCTGTGCATGCAGCTTTTTTTTCTGTCGAACGCGCTCTATTGAAGTTAAAAAAAAATTATGTTCCAATTTAATGAAAGCAATACTGTCGGGTTCGCAGCTCTGTGTATATACTTGTTGCTTAAGCGTTCAATTAATTTACATGAGAGGCGTCGAGGAGTGGAAGCGAGGCAGTGGCGTCAACAAGTTGAGTGAGCCACCAGTGTTGAGAGGACGGGTTGGCAGCACTGGTGTGTGGCTGGCTTGGGGGAGAATAGCTGGCTGGGGGGGGGGGATATTCTCAACACTGGCAGGCTGTGGTCGCCCACACTCATCACCCACCTTGCTCAACACCAAACTTTAAGCCGCTTTACGTCATTACTGACCAGATTTTACAACTCGTATATCATTGCGGAAGCCAAATATTCTGGCCAGTCGTGATGGCAAGGGTCAGTTAGTCACACACGTCTGTTCCGGACATTTAAAGTCCAGTGTAGAGCGGGGCTTCGCCTCGGCTGCCCTGCACTACCACACAATGTACATTAGGAAACCCGAGACACGCTGCGACTATACTGGCGACGAGTGCTGCCTGGAGCACCAGCGACATATGGACGAGTAGGGTGTCACGCTCAACCCCATCACTAACTTTACTACCCATACATCCGGGGGAACCTCTTCAATTTGGATCAAATAAAGGGATATTATAGCCATCTATATTTATAGTCTAAAAGGTTAAACTATGCTCACACAAGTCAATGATTACCTTGTTGCGCCGGGACGGTGCTCGGCCCCGAGATGAGTTGGTTGGGATGGCGTAGCTTTTAAGCGGCGGCCGCCCGCGCCGCCCACGCTTGAGGCCGCCCAGACCACGCTTGAGGGCGTTGGGCTCCCTCACCGACGGCGACGGCAGGAGCGCCTCCTCCACTCCCTCCTTCATGTCATCCACGAAGTTAACTGGCGCCATCAGTGTCTCCTGTGCAGGCTCCTCCTCTTCAGCCTCTTCCATCATCTCGGCAGCGTCTGTGTCGTCAGCATAGTCCTCCTCGAGGACAGGCGAGGGTGGCGAGGGCGGCGGGGCCGGGGCATCCGCAGGAACCACGTAAGTAATAAGCGTGGCGGTCCGGTGGGTAGTTTCCACCCGTAGCAGTGTCCCCGCGCGAATTTCACGGTGAAGTAGCACTTCTAATTTGTCGACCAGTCGGCTCTGGCCGCAGGTCATCAGCTTCTCCTCGATTTGTTCTTTGCTAGCTCCGCCGGGGCCGCAGGACTCGACAGCCATCCGTAGGGCGCGACATGTTGACTCACTGTTCATAACATTCACCTTGGTGCGTGTGGGCCGGCGGCGGACCAGAGCAGCCTTGGACCAGGAAGCTGCCACCCGGTACGAAGTCGCACCCTTGTACTCCACACGCAGCACGTCCTCGCTTTCCACCAGCTCATCTAGCACCGCTTCCGTCGTCAACTCCGACAGTAGATGTTCACGCCTCACATACCAGGCGATTTTTCGAGCACTCGGCCTGACGCGTCGTGACCTCAGAACCCGAATAGCATCAATGATTATTTCTCTTTCCTTATTTGTCACCATGTTACCTTTAAAACAGGTGTATATCTCTCACTGGTAGTGTAATGGAGGAGGAGGGAGCAGCCCAGGTCGCCACTGTGTTGAGCCAGCCGGCGCGCGACAACTCCTCGCACCCCAGCTGATCTCCCGCCACAGCCGCACCCAACGCGCATGCGCACTCCCCACCTTCCTCCACCCACCCGCCAACACACACTACCATTATATTCACTTTAACACAAACCAAAGCAATATCGCGAATGGATATAGCTTCCGAGCTATCTATAGGCTCTTGCAAAGTAATGATACAGGCTTTGTGTAGTCAGGAACGTGTATGAAGCCACAAACACGAGTGACAAACATGTAAGCATCGTACAATTCCAGATTACCAGTCTGCACCACACACGGACAAACGTGGTCCTCTTGCAGCTGTGTTTAAAGTTACAAAATTTTCGCGAACTCTTTTTGTATAAACGCGAGCACCAGTAAACTTGCCGCACGTATCGCCTATTTGATATGGAGTAATGCGGTTAACTTAAGGTAGCCAAGTACTTTATCAAATGCTTCAGCATTGTAAAATTAACCAAGGTCGCTTGGGACGATCCTTTGTCGCGGAAGGTGCGCTCGGCCCCATGACCGGCGTGGCCCGCTGGCTTTCGTTATCCCCAAGTCCTTTTAAACTTTGTAACTACTCTCACAACCCTAAATTCTTTCAATCCATCACTAACAAGTTAAACAAAACCGGCCAAGCCATAACTAAGCATGAAGAAGTACAGTACGTGAAGACGACCTATCTGTTCAATACTAGAACACGCAATACCAGCTGGCTACAGCTGCCAGATACTCCTATTTTAAATTCCCTGAAATCCTTTAAACGAATCGAGAATATATGCACATTGATAGAATACATGTGAAAACATTACCCATAAAATATAGTCAATGGTCTGTTAAGGTTCACCTAAGCATTGTACAAGTGACGTATGGGAAGGAGTTGTCAAGTAGAGGTAGAGAATAGTAATGACGTGCTGTGATAGGCAGCTGTTCGTCCCCTGACCGACCAGCCCTGTGCCCGCATGGCCCCCGCATGGCCGACGCTCCCGGGCCCTCTCTCTCCCAGCACCTCGGCGACATCCTCTCCCTTGCAATGGACAACATCCTCTCACCCCTCCTCACCAGCACCAGTATTGGACACGAACCTGTAGCCATACCGTCCATTCTTCAACTGGCTTCAGCGAGGCTTGCTCTTACCTTCATATGGTCCCGACATCATGGTGTAACAGCCCCCAAGCAGACCAGACTCGAGTCCCGGTTGTCATGTTTGACTTACGCCTTCACGATGGCCGGGAACCTATCACACACATTCCAGTACATAGGAGATACAGATAAATATATATATTGCGTATAAATTGTCTTACAAGACTAGAAGAAAGGAGAGCGTTCAAACTGCACACAAAAATATTCCTCTGGCTGGGCATTGCAACACGCGGCCTTAAGCTACCCAAGAGTTACACATCCCCTGTGCAACATCACCAGTAACACGCGAGTGAAGAATATCAACTACGCACTCTTCCACCACCATAACATCTCTGCTTAGACTATTAATAAACAATCTCACACTCTGCACTTTCATAGGCCAATACACAGAAAAGTTTGCAGGTCAGTATACATATAAAACTGACATGGGATTCCTGTGCGACCATGAAGAATGTACCATTTAATGACCCAAAACATAGTAGTTTAACAACCTATTCTTATGTGTGTGTGTGTCTTTACATCTGTGTCTGCAGAATCAAGCTGTTAACTCTTGGACCCCGCCTTTCTAACCAATCTATTTTTCCTATGATATATCTACTACATATATTTCTCTCAAACACAAACACACACATTCCCAGGAAGCAGCCCATAGCAGCTGTCTAACACCCAGGTACCTATTTACTGCTAGGTGAAACTGTCAAAAATAAAAAAAAAATGTTTCCGCCTCCGCTGGGAATCGAACCCGGGCCATTAGGAATACGACGCCCAAGCCCTGTCCATTCAGCTCATCAGACCCTGACTGACCGGGTTCGAATCCTTCAGGGGTTAGTTTAGTTAATTTATTATGCACCCCATACCCATCTTGAGGACGGCAGTGGAAAAGGTTAGAGGCTCATAATGGGCTCAGGGACTGAACCCCACAATTCATTTAGCTAAGCAAGTTACAGTCTTGATGAGCTAGTTACAAAAATCAATGCACATCTTCACATCATCAATGGGCACAATGGGCACCACAAGTAGTTTCTAAATAAAGCAACTGTGTGGAGAGCTAATGTCACAATTGATATGTTTGTCCTGCACCCACACGTTGAGAGGCGGGACCAAAGAGTCAGAGCTCAACCCCCGCAAACACAACTAGGTGAGTACACACACCCCAACCCCATCCAGTGGGCAGCGGTGGATAGGTTACAATCACTTAGTTACTACCTACAGTTAGCAAACTGGGGATATTTGGCTACGATTTCTGGTAGCAGATCATTTTGAATGAAATATTGACATCTTTGAAACTTTGGTTATAGAATTGTCTCTGAATTACCGTATCTTTTCGCACTCCATCACATAGTGACTGAAGGTGCGCGAATAATTTAATTCCCAGAGATACTTGTAACCGAGTCTAAGCCGAGCAGTAGTAACATCTAGAAGTCTGCTCCTTTTATTGGATGATTCATAGATGTGTGGCTCCTCTTGCACGATAGTATGATGATAGATGGAATTACTGGTGTCGATTTCACTTTGCCTCAGATCTACAAGATTATATTGAAATTCTTGGTGTACTACTGCTCTCAGACTGCTTATCGACAATCCAAGGTTATACCAAACTTCTCCTGTAAAGGCAGATTCTTTGACTAACTCATCAGCTGTATCAGGGGCAAAATCTTACTGAAGCGACCATACGAGTCATAAATACTCAAAAGTAAAATGCCTAATAAAACAGAAACAAGTAACACTTAGTGGGCCAGCCAGAGGCTTAAGGCCAGCACAAGAATATCACTGAAAAAAATAAAACAAAAAAAATAAAAAAATCTCTATCATGCATTCGGAGCATGAGACGGAATCTGAATAAAATGGACTCTCTCAAAGAGTTTTTGGACGGATATTGGCTGGGGAGCATTCAAGACTTACGCAGTAGCAGGTCATGACCGACGAGTAGGGTGTGGCCGCCAGTACGTGGCCGCCAGTACGTGGCCGCCAGTACGTGGCTGCCTGTAAGTGGCTGCCTGTAAGTGGCCACCAGTACGTGGCCGTCAGTACGTGGCCGCCAGTACGTGGCCGCCAGTACGTGGCTGCCTGTACGTGGCCACCAGTACGTGGCCGCCAGTACGTGGCTGCCTGTAAGTGGCCGCCAGTACGTGGCCGCCAGTACGTGGCCGCCTGTAAGTGGCCACCAGTACGTGGCTGCCTGTAAGTGGCCGCCAGTACGTGGCCGTCAGTACGTGGCCGCCAGTACGTGGCCGCCTGTAAGTGGCCACCAGTACGTGGCCGCCAGTACGTGACCACAACACCCTCCTCTCCACACTCATTAACTACACCCAGTACCCATGACAGCATCTTGGACTGCTATCTCAGGTACACCAGCGACTCGCCTAATGCTTCTAACCTTAAACCGTTACTATTGGCTAAGGATTGATATTTACAAGTTATATGTACGAGTCATTTAAACAAATCATGGCAGTTGTGGCAGGAATGGACAAGAATACATAATAAAGTTAACTAGAAAAAAGTCCACTTTACAAAGATCAACCAACAAGCAAAGGAACATAGAAAAGACTATATTTTATTTAAAATATATAATATCTAACGATTCTAACCAAACAGACCTTCAACAAAATAATATTAAGGTTAGGAATAAAAAGTGGCAGAAGATTCCTATACCTATACACTGACTAACTCGAACACTGACACTTTAATATACTGTATAGCCAAAGAAATACAAAAAATAATCTGTATACTTGAGTTATTAGCTACTATACTCCTCTTACACTATATTAGTCCTTAATTTATCCAACTTGCGGTATCTGTTCATGGGATTCAATCACCTCAAACTGATATTCAACCACCACAAACTCCGAGTCAACTACCTCAAACTCAGATTCAACCACCACAAACTGATTCAACCACCACAAACAGATTCAACCACCACAAACTGATTCAACCACCACAAACTGATTCAACCACCACAAACTGAGATTCAACCACCACAAACTGAGATTCAACTACCTCAAACAGATTCAACTACCTCAAACAGATTCAACCACCACAAACTCAGATTCAACCACCACAAACTCAGATTCAACCACCACAAACTCAGATTCAACCACCACAAACTCAGATTCAACCACCACAAACTCAGATTCAACCACCACAAACTTAGATTCAACCACCACAAACAGATTCAACCACCACAAACAGATTCAACCACCACAAACAGATTCAACCACCACAAACTTAGATTCAACCACCACAAACAGATTCAACCACCACAAACAGATTCAACCACCACAAACTTATATTCAACCACCACAAACAGATTCAACCACCACAAACTTAGATTCAACCACAACAAACAGATTCAACCACCACAAACTTAGATTCAACCACAACAAACAGATTCAACCACCACAAACTTAGATTCAACCACCACAAACAGATTCAACCACCACAAACTGAGATTCAACTACCTCAAACAGATTCAACCACCACAAACTCAGATTCAACCACCACAAACTCAGATTCAACCACCACAAACTCAGATTCAACCACCACAAACAGATTCAACCACCACAAACAGATTCAACCACCACAAACAGATTCAACCACCACAAACTTATATTCAACCACCACAAACTTATATTCAACCACCACAAACTTATATTCAACCACCACAAACTTATATTCAACCACCACAAACAGATTTAACCACCACAAACTCAGATTCAACCACCACAAACTGAGATTCAACTACCTCAAACAGATTCAACTACCTCAAACAGATTCAACCACCACAAACTTATATTCAACCACCACAAACTCAGATTCAACCACCACAAACAGATTCAACCACCACAAACTAAGCACAGGATCGCGAGGATGTTATCCTCAAACGTGGCTCATCTTAAGAGCAGCGGCGCGAGACCCCACAATGGATCTCTTATTAATTCTCCTGACACTATGCTCTTTCATCACTGGGAGAGCGGCACGAAAGGGGAGCGGGTTTTCTTCCTATTGGGGGGT